ATTCAGTGTTCAAGTTCTCTAGCCAGTAATCAATTCTGAAGTTGAATCAATAGAGAATATTCATTCAATATAGCTGTCTTTCATTTAGTCTATATGTAGTCATGAAGTATTTTAGATTTTTATGATCTGTGAGAATCTTGAATTCCTTTATACATCATAGCTCAGTATCTTATTTCTTTAAACACTCAATTATTACTAATAACTCCTTATCATAAATCTCATAGTTGTATTTTACAGGTGAATGCTTGTGAAAGAAGAATGCATATGAGTGTAGAATGCTCTGCTCATCATATTGTAGCAGCACTTCTTCTGAGATATAATCTGAGAAGTCTGTTTTCAATATAGTCTCACAGTCAGGGTCAAATTAAAGCAGGATTGAAGCAGAGATAAACATTGATTTTAGATGCTTAAAAGCTTTCTCAGCCTTGCTTATTCACAAAAAAGAAACATTCTTACATGTAAAAATTGTCAGTAAGGTTACAATCTTTGAGAAATCCCTGATAAATTGTCTATAGAAATTGGCAAAGTCTAAAAATCCTTGTACACTCTTAAGAGTAGTAGATGTCACTCATTTCAAAACAGCTTTAATCTTCTCTGAATTCATTTATATACCCTTGTCTGCTTCAATGATGAATTCAAGATATTTTGTACTGTTCATCTTGAACTTACTCTTTCTGATGTCTGCCTGCAGGCCTGCTTTCTGTAGATACATAAGCATCTTTTATACATGCTCACAATACTCCTGTAAGCTTCTTGAGGAAAATATCAAAATGTCATCTAAATAGACTGAGCAGAAGTTGTCCAGATATTCATGTAATACTCAATTAATATATTTTTAAAATATGCTCAGAGCATTGGTCAAATCAAAAGGTGTAATCAGCTACTCAAATAGTCTGTATCTGATTCTAAAGACTGTCATCCACTCATCACCTTCTGTGATTCAAATCTTGTGAAAAGCTGCAATAATATTCAGCTTAGTGAATCATTTAGCTCATTCAATTCACTGTAGAGTCTCACTGATTAATGATAGAGAATATCAATTCTTTCAAGTGATTTTGTTAAGAGCTCAATAGTTCACATAGAATCTTAGCTTACTCTCAAACTTCTTTGCAAATAGTATAAGAGCAGCTGCAAGAGAGTTGCTCACTTTAATAAAACTCTTATCTAAATAATCTGTAAGAGTTTTTCACAAAGCCAGTAGTTTCTCTCAAAACATATTATATAGTGAGTCTCAAGGGGGTTGTTCTGTACTATCATTAGTCTTTTTAATTAGTTCAATCCTATGATCTCTACCTGAGTCATGAAGTAGGAGTAGAGTATCAGTAGCTTTCTTATCAAATATATTTAAAAACTCATGATAATATTCAGGCAGCTTTTCTCTAGGATTAATCTTTGATTTCACTTCTAGAGTCTTTTGAATGTTGACTAAGCTGACAGTGAAGATCTCAATGTTTCACTTCTCTCAAGTGCTCACAAGTCTAGAGAAGCTTATGACAGAGATGAGAATCACATCAGTTTTTGCATTTAAACTAGACTTTATCTCTATGCCATTCTCTTTAAATCTTATAATTCTTTGATGAGAGATTATAGTTATCTTTTGCTAGACCAGCCAGAGGTTATCTAGATACATATCATGATCATATAACTCATTCACTACATAGAGAAAGGCTCATTCAGTTATGTGACTGTATATATCAATTTGAATGCCAGTCACCATGCTTATAGAGAGTTCCATAGAGTCTTCAAAGCTGGTCATTTTAACAGAGGGAATTTCAATACACAGAAGCTTATACTTATTAATGTAGAATTGAGAAATAAGATCATAGACATTACATTCACTGTCTATCATTGCTATAGTCAAAAAGGCATTATTTACTAGAGCATCAACAGTGAAGAGTTTGAATATCATCTTAGATTTAAATCTTTTCTATTACTTCTTCATAAGCTTCTTATTTTGCTTCCTTTAGTGTCTTTGAGTTAGAGCTACTCTTTTTCTGAATCCTCACTCATATTCATATTGTCATTGTCCAGTACCAGCTTGAGAATCACCTTAGCTATTGTGGGGGTGGCAAAGCATCTGAGAGGTTTGAATGAACAGCTCTTAATCATATAACCTTCAGCTCTGCATCTCAGGTATAGACCTTGCTCTCTTCATTGATTAATCTTTATTTGATTTATCAATTTGATGTGGCAGGCACTTGAGGTCATAGCATCAGAAGAGAGATTCATCAGATCATCAGTGAAAGCTTGAGACTGATTTCATCAATCAAAGACAGCATGATGAAGTGGAGAGTGTGGATTAGATGTTATATAATCTGAAGAAGATTTGCTCTCATGACATTTAGATCACTGTCTTAAAGTCTTAAGCTCAGAGAGTTGATAATCAACTAATCTAAGCTTCTTACAGTAATTCTCATAGAAAGATGATTCTCTTACACTCATCATATCTTCCTTCAGCTCTATGCTTAGAGTGGATTTCAAATACCTCTTTTTAATATGATCATCTCATTCATGACCATCAACTTCCAGCAGTAGCTGATTAAATTCAGGCAGAAAGTCAAAGAGAGCTCTTCTACTTTATCATAAATTGTTGAGCTTTTGCATAATCTTTTTCTGTTGTGCAAAATCACTAAAGAGCATGCATGTTTGCTTCAGTAAGCTCTCTATTATAAAGTTAATCTTGTTCTTATTACTCTCAACTCAGGGGTAAACTCAAGCTGCTGTCATTTTTTTTAGTCTCAAGTACACATATCAAACACATTTCTCATTATTATCTAAAGCTATTTCATTGATCTTAAGTTTTGATTGAAGCTTTAGCTCTCACTGAGAATAGTGCTTCAGATTAGAATCATCATACTTCTTGCAGTCTGATAGCTTGATCTTTAATTTTCTGACTGCAATGAGTGATTGCAGATTTAATTGAGAGAGAGTTGATGTTAAGATGTTCAAAGCTTGTTGTAGATTAGCTATTTCAGCTTGCTGAGCTGCTATTAAATCCCTGTTCTCACACTGGACCTGTTCCTGCTATTGGAGAAAGGTCATTCATTGTTGTTCAAAGCTGCTAAAAGTGTCCCTACTCATTGCTTCATGTTAATTCATTTGTGTATTCATTGTACAAGTCTGTCACTTTATCTCATTCAGCTAGACATTTTCAATGTTGCTCATTTGTTTGTTAGCACAATTGCTAACTCAGTCTATTCATATACCAGTACTATCACTGAACTTTGTGATGCAGGATTTAAGACTCTCAATAGTCTGTTGTATGTCAGCACATTTGCTGAGCTTCATGATACAGGATTAAGACTCCCAGTGGCCTATCAATGAAAGGAGTGAAGCAATTCGTAATGTAGAGGATTAAGCTCTAAGAACTAGAGACTAGTCCTCCTATATAACAAGGACAAATTGCTTGGGAAAGGGAAGAAAAGAATGAGATGAGAACACAAGCTTAAGCAAGCTCGCGTAGCATGATCACGTGCGCACGTGCAAATGATGGCTAGGCTGAGTCAGCCAGCCAGAGCGAGTCTAAGGGTTCAGCCCCTTATACTTGGGTGATATGACTAACTGGTATGTCGTGATGTAAGGCTTTAAATGTTATTTGCTGCCGGATTTCCTGTCACAGTCACTACCATAATTTTCTATTCTTATCTTTTCCTTTTTCCTTTCTTTCTTCCTTCGTTCTTTATTTTTGTTTTGTTTTATTTATTTATTTATTTAATTTTGAAAACTTGTGAACTGAATGGTGAATGGTTCTCTCGCTTTGTGAATCACCTTGGTATGGCTTTGCAAAAGATGGCGACTTCAATGCGTCTGCCGTAGGTATTCGTGTGTTTGCTTCCCATCAGCCTCCCTGAAGTGGTCCCGAAGACACCGCCTCGGGGGTTGGATTTGCATTGATCATACAACTCGCACTCTAATGATATGAATTATCCATAAGCTGCATGAAATTTTACGAAAGACTCGAAAAGTGGACTCCGTTCCTTAAAACAAATCCTTAACTCTGCCATCCGGATGCCGTTGGATTTGGCCAGAGAATTTGGTGACGCCTTCAGCAGAATATAAACGCAGAATATATTTTGGATATTATATTTTTATAATACAAGTATTAGTTAACTAGTTAACTAGTTAATTATTTTATATTCATAAAACTTTAACAACCTAGCTTAAATACTTTTATTCAACTTTAAAAAAAAAACTTTTAAACTTTTATTTTATTGATTTTTTAGTTATATTTTATATATTTATATAATCAATAAAAGTTATTAAATATTTATAAAATTCAGAATAATTAAAAGTTATAAAATTATTATATAAAAAAATTAAAGATCTAAAATTAAATATTCAATTACTAAATAATTTAAGTATAATAAAAACTATTCAAAGCAATTATTAAAATTGCTTTAAATATTTTAAGCTTTAAAAGCTAGTATATATACTATTAAATGAACATTTAAAAAAAATTTTTAATAATCAAGTAATTAAAATAATAACTAAATAAACTTTTATAATAAAAAGTTAAAAACTATAAATTTAAATCCTATAAAAAATATTTTAAATTTAATAAAATAATATTTAAAATTTAAATAATGATATTATAATTTATTATTTTTAATTATATAATATTTATTTGATCTAAATAATTAAGATTTATTATTTAATAATAATATTTTTAAACATAATGTATTAATCACACAATGGCATCTGAAATGATCAGTCGAACCAAAATTGAGCTGAAAGAAAGCGGATATTAACTCCCTGCGCAGTGAAGAAATCTTCGGGCCAAGCAATCATGGAGCCCAAGTTCATTTTATGAAGCTGGTCAGGGCAAAACCACAGGTCCTTCCCCCTAAGAGACACGAGAGACTTTTATACAGAAAGAGATGGTGGCTGATGTACTGTGCAAGGAAGCTCATCCGTGCTTTTCATTCCCTATTGTTGTCTAGAGGCACATCCTTTGCCTATTTTAACGTAAATGACGATCGAGTCTGGCTTTCTCAAACAAGATGTGGGACAGCTCGAGATTCGGCCCTGCGACCTCCTTCAGTCGAATATATTGCCTCGTACTTCACGACCGTATGATACAAAAAGAATTAATACTCCCTAACATGGAATAAAAGAGGTCATCATCCGTTTCGTGTTAATCCACAGTCCACAGTCTCTTGCATTTGAGTGTCTACTTGCTGATACATATAACTCCAAGGAATGTTAATTATGGAGACCGAAAGTCTCATTCAAGGATATGGACTATCCATATCCAAAAGCTTAGAAACTCCACGGAATCTGGCTTACGCGCATGCTTGATAAACCGATGGTTTTGTTGATGAATTAGTCGGTGGTACTCTCTCTCAAGGGTTCCTCAGTGCAGACTCCTGTCATCGCTGGCACGTCCCGGCCACCGGTCAAATTGTATATCTAAACGTTCTAGAAGGAACGAATTAATGTAACTAATCTGTGGCTCTATTACAGTAAAACCTCGTTATTACGAATCTCCATATAACGAATTCCTCCCTATAATGAACAAAAATTTCTTTCTGAATTCATTCTTCATACAAAAGTTCGTTAAACCTCTATACCGCGAAATTGGGTAACTGTTCATTCGAATTTCTATATTTTTCATTATATCGAGTTAAAATGCCGCGCAGGATTGCGATTTCGGCCAATCAAGAGATACCTAACTACCTCTACGCGCTCATAAATTTCAGAATCCAACCCTATGAATATAGAAACTCCTTCGACGTATTACGGCTTCGGAGGCTTTGGATTTGGTAAAAAGGTTTCACTTGTATGAGGAGCAGCAGGATCAGGGAGATCAGAGTCTAATTCAACAGCTTAATTACTATGAGATGAAGGTTGGCAGCACAGAAGCTTGCAAATCAGCAGTAGCAGGATATTCAGGCGTATTTGAAGCTCAACCTCTTTATAGCGAATTCCTCTATATAATGAATTGTATAGACTTCCAAGATTAAATCGTTATAACGAGGTTTTTACTATAGAGGACTTTTTGAATTTTTGTACTTGGAAGCACTATTATAGCTTTCTGGATAGCATCTGAGGGCCATGGGGGAGAAGAAATCATGTGCTATTGTCCGTCGTCTTTCTGTAGCATCGGATATAGCACTGGCTAGTCTCCGCAGAGGGCTGAATTAAATGACAACCTAGCAGCCGGTCTACACTATTCTTCTCTATCTTCTTCTTCTTTTCCATCCCTATCTTCTCTCCTCTGCCCCTTTTCTCACCCTCGCGAGCATTGTCAACACTGAGATCAAAAATTTGATGTGGCTTTTGATCAAGGTGTGCTTAGTGAGAATATATATCTCAGGCATTTATTATTATTATTATTATTATTATTATTATTATTATTATACTTGAATACAGTCAGTGATTATGACAAGTTCATGAAGTTGAGTACATACATGAGTGGATTAACTATACAGAAGAATCTAGAGTTGATAACACACTCATACAAAGAAAGCTGCTCAGTGATCAATGAGTTCAAATCAGGTGCCTGTGAGATAACATTTATTAAGCAGTGTCTGATTGGTATCTCTGGTCAGCTAAAATAGCCATTAGTCTACTAGCACATAAATTGCCATCATTTCTGATCATATATTGCAAGTTTTAGAATTATTCACTCCTTGATATTTTTCTCTAAGATTTTAGATATAGTTTTTTTTATTCTTCTTCTTCTTCTTCTTTCTTTATGCTTGTGTGCATTCAGTGACTATGACAAGTTGAAGTTGAGTATATACATAAGCTGATTATACAGAAAGAAGCTAGTGTCGAAAACACACTCAATAAAGTAAACTATATCTAAAACCCTAGAGAAAGATATCAAAGAGTGAATAATTCTAAAACTTGCAATATATGATCAGAAATGATGGCAATTTATGTGCTAGTAGACTAATGGCTATTTTAGCTGACCAGAGATACCAATCAGACGCTCTTTAATAAATGTCTTCTTTGTCTCATCAGATTTGAGGTACCCGATTGAACTCATGATCCCACGCCAAGTATTACCGAGCGGCTGCCTAAACCATTAGCCATCGAGAGAAGTCTCATATGCTTAATTGTGTTACAATTACCGCATTTTTATGATACTTATGAGTGTGATCTAAGCTCTAAGATATTAAGTACAGAGAGTTGAATGACCAGCTGTTTGACACTCTTAGTAAATAAAATAGCAAAACTTAGCAGCTTTATTGAGAATCTCTTTGTGTTGTATGGACATGTAGTCGCTCAACTAAGGTCGTATGAGGGACCTCGTATGTGTGTGCGGCAGCTCTGACGCTTGAGACGGGCCTTTCTAGTGCTTGAATAGCTAATGGGACTCTACCTTCTTGATAGGAGGTTTGAGCATCTTTGTGTTGTTGACATTTTGATGGTCAGCTGGATAAACACGACCCGTGCTGGGGAAGTGTATGAATAGATGGTGAATTATATTGTTAACCATTCGAATGTTTAATAGTTAGATTAGTTAGTTAACTAGTTAGCCGTGAGGGGTTGAAGAGATAAGGTTTAAACTTCTCGAGATCTACTAAGCTCTCGCAAGGCGCTTATACCCTACAAAGTTCCACTCCCATCCGTGGATTCCGGTGGACATGTCCAATGCGGGTAAAGCTACATTTAAATCCGTTTATACATTATCTAGCTACCTAGATATGTCATAATGAATTCCGGGCATCCGGTCGTGGATATCCTAATGCTTGCTGTATGGAAATATGCGCGTTGGAATACTATCCAAAACCGTTTCAATGTCAGAGATACCAAGATCAACATTGTTACCTGGCAGCGAAGGAAAGGTGAAAACTGAGCTCAAGCTTAGCTCATGTAAGGATATCCTCTCAACCCCCTTGGTTATTTTGAACACTTCTCTCTTGTCGCTGCTTATGCCACAATGTATTTCCTGTTAATGATAAGTCTTCTTTTTTCGACTGTTATTCGCGCTGGATATCCCCCGACCCCAACTGGTTTGACTGTGATCAATTCGACATTTCTGCGAGGAGCGCAAATATCCTATAAACAGGTCAAGGTAGATCATCCATATATTTATTTAATTGATATTCCTCAGTTGCTAACTGAAAGGACTTTTTCACCCAGGATGGAATTTGTGGCAAAAATGGGACAAATTCATATGCTGGGTATGCCAAATTCCCACCGAATTCGATGCCCGGAGTTGATCAAAACTACCCGGTCAATCTATTCTTCTGGTATTTCGAGTCTCAGAATAAATCGAAGGATGATCCGCTGTCAATTTGGCTCAACGGAGGTCCCGGTGCATCGTCGGTTTTTGGGTTATTTGCAGAGAATGGGCCATGCCAGGTGCTTGAAGACTCTAGAACAACGAAGCCAAACGAGTACTCCTGGAATAGATATTCCAATATGCTTTATCTAGACCAGCCTGTTCAGACGGGATTTAGCTATGATAATATTACCAGTGGGGTTATGGACTTGGAAACGTCGAATATTATACCTGGGGGAATGCCAAATACTACAAAGATTGCCGGAGCCTTTTCGAGCCAGAACGAGCTCAATACGGCCAATACCACGGAGAATGCTGCAAGGCAGTTTTGGTTCTTTCTTCAGCTTTGGACTCGGGATTTCAACAAGTATACCGAGAAAAGGATAAATTTCGACATATATTTATGGACGGAGTCATACGGTGGCAGATATGGCCCGACTTTCGCGAGGTATATTTTGGAGCAAAACTCCAATATTCAATCGTTGAAGGTAAAGGGCAAAGTCCTGGTTTTGAAAGCTCTAGCCATCATCAATGGTTGTATCGAATTACCACTCCAATCGTTCTCATATCCTGCAATTGCATTCAATAATTCCTATGGAATTCAGAGAATCGACGAGAAGGCGAAAAACGAATCAGAAGGCGCTCTGAGCCATTGCCTTGAAAAGATTTCCGAGTGTCGACGCTTTGCTGAATCCTATGATCCTGATGTCATTGGCAACGTTGAAAATGTGACTAGCAAATGTTACGAGGCAAGCAATTTCTGTACGAATAATGTTGAGGGCCCTTATGTGGCCCAGGAAAGATGGGGTTATTATGATATGTCTCACTGCTACCTTGATCCGTTCCCACCTGAGTATTATGTCGGGTTTCTGGCACGTCATGATGTGCAGCAGGCATTGGGAGTCCCCGTTAATTTTACCGAGATCTCCCCAGCAGTCGGAAACGCATTCAACAAGTCAGGAGACTATGCGAGAAGCGACAAGAAAGGATATCTGAAAGATCTCACTTACTTGCTAGATTCCAATGTCCCCGTGACATTGGTATATGGCGATCGCGATTACGCTTGCAACTGGATCGGCGGAGAAGCTGTTAGTCTTGCGGTCAAGTATAATGGCTCAGTGCAGTTCAATAATTCCGGCTACGCGGACATTATATTGAACTCTACCGAAGAGAATAATTGGGGGGTTGTACGGCAGCATGGGTTCTTCTCGTTCATTCGTGTCTACCAGGCTGGCCACACAGTTCCTTCTTATCAGCCAGAGCTTGCGCTAGAATTATTTCGTCGGGCACTTTTATACCTTGACTTTGCAACGGGGAGTGTTAATTTGGTCACTCATTTGAATTACTCGACTGGTGGACCCGCCAACTCCACTCATACTGAGAAAGACCTTCCTACACCATCTCCAACATGTTACTTCTGGTCCTTGGAGTCGTCATGCGCAGGCAATCAGATTGGCGCCGTGAGAGAAGGGAATGCAACGTTCACAAAGGATTACATCGTTGCCGCTCCCACGGCTCCCCCAGACACGTGTCCGATGGCCAACCAGAGCAAAACAACGGCCCCCAGAGGTATACGGAGGGGTTCGAAAGGCGACTTTTTTGTTCGCTGACCGAAACGCACGATGGTAGAAAATGTGGGATTCCAGATTTTAATGTATAGTTTAATTTTGAAAAGTTTTTCGGATTGTTCGCAACTCAAATTCCCTATTGTTCCCCTTGATGTAATTTTCGATCACATTAACTCTAGGTACCTTTTCATGCAGATGACATTTTATTTGTGGTTAATGTAATATGCCAACCAGAGTCAGATATCTGATCGTAGGCAACAATGTAGCCCTTCGATTGCCGCTTTCGTCTAAGTTTCTGTATCGAGTCCCATAAATCTGCACCAGCAAATGGTTGCGCCTCTCCTGAATGAGGCAACGCCCGTCACCGTTTGGTAGGTACTGGGCAATGGTTACATGATATTCGGGGTCGTGTACCTTGTAGCTGCTGTGTTGAAGCAAATGTTAGAATAGACGACGCGAAGGACAATTCTCAAGGAAGTTAACATAAATAGTGAAGACTAATATGTTACACCCTAAAAGTGTTTATGAGTGTGATGTGACTAAAGTTAGCGTAGATCGAGATGCTCATTGACTCGTCAATTTAAAATAGCAAATAAAAAATAGAATAGCATTCAGAGGGAACATCAGCATACCTAAACGCCCTTGAGATGTTTGGGCATGTCAAATAGTAATGGGATCAAGGTGAATGTATCGCATACGAAGCAATTGCGCATCAATTTGAGAAATATTTTATTGATAGTTGACGCCTTTTGACTTGCTCCCAAGCCGTCACTCTCACCAGGACAAAGGCAGAGACCGCTCATCCAGGTGAGACCTCTATCTCATGCCTTGATTTAACCCTTCGGATGTTTGTCTGGCCTAAAATTTAATATCAAGCAAGACGTTTCTCGAAGTTCTATGATCGATCCTTAATGACGAAGAGACATGAAAATCGACTTGAGCTCTATCGTTCCACGGAACTGAGGAAAATGTCTTATTTTAATCTGATAAAAAGAATTTAAACATTCACGTAGTAATGACGTCCATCAACGAGCTCCACAAACATTGTAGTAGAGGGCGTCTTCGACCTAGCAGACTCCAACAAAGAATATTGGTTTGGGAAATGATTTTGGGGACGCTAAAATGTTGACATCACTAGAACATCTGGGATTTGCTAAATAGAACACAATATAGGTCACTAAAGGAATTTAGACAATAAATGAAAGTGAAGAATATCATAAAGGAAGTGAACGCTCAAGCAATAACCCTCAAAGGTCACAAAGCGATGTTGAATGGAGGAGATAGTTCAACCTCACGTGACTTTAAGGTGAACCAACTTTCCATTCCGGTTAGCGGCATTTGACCGGGCCGACATAGCTCCGGCTGTCATCTCACTTGGAGCTTGCAATCGGCCAAGACCTTGGAGATAAATTGCACATTGGTAAAATCCGACAGTAACAGCCCCATCGACAATCAGCCAAACTACAGCCCGGTAGACAATATTAAACACCACAAACATGTCGAAATTTGCAAAGTACGTCTGCTCTTGAACTCTTTGTTTGTATTGGATGTGAAATAAATTGACTAACATGCCATAGTCGCTCTGACTGGGCGGACGACGAGGAGTTTGATGACGCCCAAACTCTTCCAGCTCAACAAGTTATTACCAACAAAGACGGCACCAAAACGGTGATTTCTTATCGCTTTAATGACGATGGCAAAAAAGTGAAAACTAGCCGCCGAATTCGCACAACAGTAGTCAAGGAACACGTGAACCCCAGAGTCGCAGAACGACGAACGTGGCCAAAGTTTGGACTTGAGAAGGGTCACCCTCCCGGTCCCTCGTTAGATACCACTTCTGTTGGAGAAAACATTATCTTCAGACCCAGTGTAAACTGGAAAGCACAAGCGAAGGAGGCAGAGAAAGCCGGTCTCGAGAAGGGAAGCATCAAAGATCAGCTCAAGGACAAGAAAGTAAAATGCCGAATTTGTTCTGGTGAGCATTTCACTGCCAGATGTCCGTTCAAGGACACAATGGCACCGGTTGAAGAATCTGGCTCCGCTGCTGTTGACGATATGGGCGATGAGCGGCCGGCGGGCGGCCTGGGCGCTGGTGGCAACAGTTACGTGCCACCCCATCTACGAAAGGGTGGTGCTGCAGCTGGAGAGAGGATGGGCGGTAAATATGAGCGAGATGATCTGGCAACTCTGCGCGTTACGAACGTAAGTTCATGCATAATCAGGTGTCGCGCCGTTCTTGCATACTAACTGTGTGGCAGGTGAGCGAGCTGGCGGAAGAGCAAGAAATTCGGGATATGTTCGAGAGATTTGGTCGCGTTACCAGAGTCTTTTTGGCAAAGGATCGGGAAACGAACATGGCCAAAGGCTTTGCCTTCATTTCATTTCAGGATAGAAGTGATGCTGCTCGCGCATGCGAGAAAATGGACGGCTGTAAGTTACCAAAGTTGGGGTATCACCATCCGACAATTCCATTGCTAATGCGTTTTACAGTTGGTTATCGACATCTGATCCTCCGAGTGGAATTTGCGAAGAAGACTTCGTGACTAAACTGGTTTCCTTCTGGCTAATGTGGTGGTGTTTTAAAATTGATATGATTTTCGGTAAAGAAACATTTTCTCTCCAGCGTATTTTGTTGATAACGACTGTTGAATGACAACATATACGGTTTCCTTAATTGATTCTTTCCAAATCCGTAGACGAACTCAACTGTAAGACCACGCGTATACTTGGACCTATGATTTGAGGTACTGGTTCATATCTACTGGCCCGTCACTCGCAGTGTGTGTGTGTGTGTCATCCCATCCTTGCCTCTGTTTATTGCTCCACATGCAATCACTTTTCCTCCAGGGCTGTTTTCATAACCTCATGGTTTCGAAGTATTCCCCTTTGGAGCTAGGCATCGTACTTTGTTCTCACCAACTCCTATGCTTTTAATTTTACAGCAATATCAAATACCGCATAAAATAATAAGGCTTCTCGCCGCAGTTCTGAACACGTCATTCAGCCAAGGTCCCATACATTCCGGGTGTTACGAAATATGTTGGGCCCCTTCTGCCCTATCCATTCGGATGTCCTTGCAACAATCATCGACAGCAAATAGTATTCGTGTTCACTCTTTCTTCTTTCCTTTTCCATCCTTCTTCCGCCTTTCTTTCGGACATTTCTGCATATTTGCTTTTGTTCCCCCTTATTCTGACACGTCCAACCAACCATTTTCTGTTTCTTTCTGCTTCATGTTCTCCTCCTCCCACTGCCCACATCGATCCAATATACAAGAAATTACCACTCTGTATCAACGTTTTCGAGATTTCTTCAATCTCGACCGCCGACAGCAAGGTCCACTAATGAGTAGGGAGCAAAATTTGTATGCATATATGCGGTCAGACTTTTAAATTCAGCGGGCATGAGCATCCCGCCAGTCCCGCATGCTGTATAACTAGCCCCCACGACATCTATGTTAGCGTACGATTGCTCCGCCCCTCCATCTATGGCCGGAACTTCATAAAAGTGGAACAACATGCTGTAAGCCACGCCCGCTATAAAGTCTTACGAAACCTCTCCCTCCAGGATGCCAACCGACGCACCGCATTGCATCTGAAAAGCTACATTACCGTTTGAGTATCTCACAACCGTGATAGTCCCAACAGCTAGAGACTTATTTACTTCTGATATCAGTCTGGTGAATCGTTCGAATGAATGGTCAAGCTGGGAACGTAGAATCCGAGAAGCTGCTAATATCACTCATGCGCTGCAGAGGGGTTATGTATGTATCTACAGAGTGCATGCATTTTAATTTGCTTTTTTGCTCCTTACTTCTCTTCTCGTGGCTCTATCTCCCCATTCACTGTATTTTGGGGCTTTTTTTTTTTTTTTTTTTTTTTTTTTTTTGGAACTCTTCAGGGTCCTCAATTAATGCAAAACATTTTCTCATTATTCAGTCTTTCTTCTTTACAGTGATGTCTTATCCTCTCTATTGGCAAACAAAAATCTTTTTTGGCGTCATGCAACTTACAGTTTTCCCATTTCCCTTATTGCTGGGCCTCAAATCCGCCATTTCTCGTTCCTACCCGGTTTCTCACCTCTTGTTACTTAGTCTAGTTATATCATTCATCCTACTTAACAATGGCCGCTTGTTTGCACTGAAGTGGAAGCCAAAATTCTTTCCATTCAAGTTCGGAAAGACACCATATATCCTGATAACATCAATCAGATTGTATCGCAATATAAAGTCGGAACGAAGATTGTTGACAGAGCAGGCTGGCCTAGCGGGAGATGAGAGAAATAGAAACTCCAGGAAAAGACTACAAGCACGGCAATCTCATAGGTGCTAATATGAAAATAAGGAACGAACTGAGGCAACAGAATGGGCGAGAAAGGATTGATTTGGCTTCATCTCCTCGAGCGACCAACCCTGACTATCAACGACGCCCTTCAATTCTACCCAACCGCCCGCTCGATGTTTTGGACTGCCTGAAGTCCCAACCGACGGCAAATGAATAGCAAACATCTTTGCTGAAAACGTTTCTTTTGTCAAAACCCGGCACGGAGCGGTAGGGATTGGAGATAGCTCGGTTTTATATCATACATGCATACCTTGGTACTAAGTTAACTATTAGTTATGTGAAAAAAAGAAACCTAAATCCAACTGGCAAAACGGAGCAGCAGCAAACCCTTCAGTCTCCCTGCGCTAACCTACACCATTCAAGCACCAGACACACCGCACATACACACTTCACAGCCCACCCTGGAAATTCAGCAAGATAAAATGAACCAACTAGATAAAACCTGGCGCTAACACTCCGATAGCAACGATCTGGAAAATGCACAGATTAGGCCAGCCAGACACCGCCTCAAAGAATACAACCAATCTCCAAGGCTGAGAAATTTTTGGCTCAGCGGGTGGCATGTTTCTTGATTGATATTATGAGGCCGGAAAGAGGGAAGAAACGATGAAGACATGAAAATTTTCTTCCTTTTGGCTCCCGTAATCCAGGATCATATGCATGAGGGTCGGATATTTCTCCTTAAGTGTGCCGCGTCCGTTGTTTAGTTTCATGTTTGGTTCCTTCGGCAGCTAGTTAAAATGTCATGAATCTGTCCCCCCCGGAGTTGACAGATTTATCGAGTTACAAGTTTAACATGTTACTGCACATTACATAGGTACTCCGTATATATACCTATATACAGCATAGCAAACCCAAGATCACATCTAGGGGGGTTGTGCGGTCTGGCCGAACGAACCATACTCTGCCCTTCCGAGATCGATACGTAGCATATCTAATTAGCCAACTAACTAGCCACAACTCGTCATATTTTGAGTTGCGAACGTTCAAACGTTGGTACTTCGTCTCGGGAACGAATAGGGCGAGAGACCATGATTTAAGGTATACCCAACGATTTGGGTGAAGCGACAAACCTCGCCCGCCCCCTTACCTGCGAAGTGGCATGGAACCGTGGAGGGGTTTAAGTCTGTAGGCTTGTAACGGGTACAAGGCCTGTTCCTCCAACTTTGCAGAACTAACTCGGTACCATATGTCTAGTAGTTATATGTTTTCTTCAAACCGGTATCAATTGTGTATATTTCCTCAACATTCCTCACCTTCCATATCCTTACACGACGTATATCTTCCTACCCGTTCTACGGGCTATTCCATCTCGTGTTTTGTTCCTGTGCCTGCCACCTATCCATTCGGAGGCTCCGAGGCTAGGAATCTTTGGGATGGTTCTTCTTCCATGGAAAAAGCTGAGATACCCCTTCCCATGTTAACTACCTCCATATCATTTAGCATTAACATCATATGATAGTTATAAGGATTATGTGATGGCCACTGGGCAATAGCGGTAAACGACCACCACAAAGGCCCTGACCGTCCCGCATCTCTGCTGGATACATACATCGCGGGTTTCTATGTCCCTACATGGGTATCTAGCTCCGTGATCCATGTAGGTATGTATCGGAACCAATAATTTTTTTTTTCCCTTTATTTTCTCGTATATGCGAGACGGGAAATTTCCCGATACCTAACTAGAGATCCATACGGGGCTTAAGGCTTATATCCTGTACATCATGATATCGTGGGGACATGGTGTTTTGTGAGACTCCTGATTGTTATCAAGAAGACAAAGGAAGAGTAATAAGGGGGCATATGGCCAAAACGCCAGCATAACCGGCCTTCTATGTATTCTCTGCACCGTATTATTTATCAGCCAAATGCATCGAAAAGATCATCTAGCTATAGGAAGCATGTATGTCATGATCAGCGAGGCCGTCATCGATCATGTCCAGCGCTCCCGTCAGCCGTCAAGTTAGCCCAACTAAACCTTACTTTTTGCCTTGCCCTTTTTTTTACCTGAGCCAGGCTTAGTTTAGCTATAGTTTCTTTCTTTTCCACCTCTATCCCGCTCTATTCGGGCCTCCTCCCTTATTAGTATGCATATGCCGAAATCAAGTCCGCGCAAATCTCAACGAGAAGTGGCGTCTTCAGCCCGAATAGCGGGCATGATGTTCAGATATTGATATGATGAGCCCTAATAGAGCTCATAATATGAGGTAAGAGGCGCGTGGCGATCACTGACCACTTCGTCCGCGATATCTACCCTGATCTTTAACGAAAGGCCCTAACTAGAAGTGATCGACTTGGAGACCAGGGCCCAGGCCAAGATGCGGAGGAGGGGGGGTTCTTGAATGGAGGGGATTTTGATCTAAAATTTCTGGCTTGATATTTGGAAAGAATGAGAGACGGGCTGTCTCTCCATCAGTAATGATGCTGGATTCTATAACAGATGAGCCATTCTTGCATATCCTACTGACGTTATTGACGCTGACCAGTTGGTTAATGGTTATTGATCTATATCTGCACAAATGACATGTCTCTTTGCCGATGCCCGTTGATATTGATTACAGAAACCATGTGCATATCTGAAGGCTGGATGCTGGATGCTCCTTTCACCAGGGTCTAAATAGAAATAATACTCATTTTTAGTCTTAATTATATGGTTCTCGTTGTTTTAAACTTCACATCTTGATCCAGCCAGCTGATCTGTTTCCTCTACCGCCTTATTTTGAGGTCTGTTATTACCGTTAAAACACTAACCCATAGTAAGGAACGAAATGAGGATGGACAAGAGAGTTTGGATTGTAACCACCAAGAAGTTTTGAAAATGAGGAATGATTAATTATTTGTTGAAGTCCTAACATGGCAGCAGTCTTGTTTGAATTCTTCTTCTACGTTTACTCGCTTTCAGACATTGATTGCTATTGGCATTCCTTCTCTCTCTTTCATTCCGATACTATAAACAGGGATGTAAAATAATATATGTCGCACATCTTTCGATCCAATCCCTGTTTTGCTCTCCTCCTCTTGCCACCATATGAATAGATACCAGTGCAATTAATATTTATTCCAATTTTTATCTTCACCAACTTAGAAGAAATTTCTTCATTAGGTAAGTGCTGATAGGACTCTTAGATTAGGAAACGAAAGCTATTTCTATTGGCTGTTTTTACCTTCTGGCGTCCGTGGCTTTAGTCGACGTCTGAGGTGGCGTTCATAGGGAGGTGAAGTGTCTGCTTTGGATGCATGACGAACATTCTGCAACCACCGGGCTTCCAAGGAACCCTTGCGGACCTCCGGCAACCATCCATCTGTTTGGTTGTTGGGTAGAGCTCAATCATCCTCGCATTCCTCAGGCCTCCCCCCACTATCTCTGAGTTGTAAATTGGTTAAGGTAGTAGAATAAGGGGGCTGCTGGTGTTCGAACCGGATAGAGGCTTCCAACCTTAAACAGACGTTATACATGCACAACGTCCGGTTTCCTTGAATTTCTGTATAGATGCTTCCGCTTGCAGAGCCCCATTATCAAACCACTGTCCAAGAATATAGGTATTTTGTTGGTGGAGTCGCAACTCATGCCCTATAACCGAGTGGTTCATAGATAATATAGATCGTCATATTACTTTTGGTATATCTGCTGCAATTAGAAGATTTGATTCCCCTTTCCTCGACTGACGAGCATTTCCCTTGATAGCAACCACTTATCCCGAAAGTCGCATTGGTAAACTCAATTCTAAGGGGGGAAAAGCATGTTTTTTAAAATATAAAACTTATCAAGGACATAAGGTTGCCGTTATGTATGTAAGACGAGATGTCGAGTCCACATGAATAGATCGTTTACTCCGTGTTAATTCGAAAGACAGAGATATTCATCAGCAATAAAACTTGTCTGTAGAGTGAGGGCATTGCGTGTACCTGAGAGCGCTCTCCTTGCATGTTGCATGAGCACTGCTTTAAGACAACAACTAAGTATATGGGGACTCAAAAATGAAGATATATAACCAGAAATTATGCAGATCCACCATTGAACGGTGTAACAAGTTCACAGGCGGTGCACGCTTCACGTGGTCGGCAATCTGGATGTTCTTCAGAAAGAGATGGTTGATAATAGGACATGAAATTGCAAACACATCTGACAAACAGTTAGAATTAAGGGGAATAGCACGTATTTGCAATAACACGTTTCAAGATCAATATTATTAGATGTTGATATGGAGCAGTCTGGAAGAGATCAGAAATAGTGTTCAATGAATCTGGATCGAATACACCGGAAGCGAGTCAGCAGAAAAATAGTCATTCCTTCAATATTCATTGTGAATTTAAGATATTTATGAGTAGCTTATCCAAAGTTGCTAGATTAACACATCAACAACAGCAAAGCAACAGCAGCAAGAATCACTATCCACGGAATGAACTGTTGGTCATGGCCTTGTATATTGTGTTACGAACTGGAAGAGAAAGGAGCTGTAGGGACTAGATTTGCATCAGAGTAAAAGGGAAGCAGAGGGGGATCGAATTTAATCCATCATCAATAGAAACACCCAACTGCGGCAAAAGCCATTCCTTGCCAATAGAAGCCGGTCGCCCGCTGCGAGGCTGTGGTGTTACCCATCTCTGGGTCGACAACGGTTAGCTTCGAAGCACGCTTTCAGACTTCGTGAGATTTTCTACAGCAACCAATTGCTGCGCTAATTGTTGCTGATTGAAGGAATGGTAAGGTTGCATGTCATCGAAATGCAATTTGCCCAGGGCATACACATGGTTACCCAAACTGGCCCACCAACACAGCTCGTGTGGTACCGATAAGAAAAACCTGGACAAGACGGTGGCTAGCAACGGCCACTAGAATTTATGAGCGTCGAGCCGAATGCCAGATCGAGTCACATGCGAAACAATTAGAAACGCGGTTTGGAAAACCTCGTTGCTGAATCCCAGGTATCCATAGCTAACAAGGAGCAAACCAAACACAGTATAGTTATTGGTTAGCTGACTCAGGGAGCTCCCAAGTTCAAAATTCGAGGAACACCGCCACATTAACATGAAAGCACAGCTGAGTAACTCAGAAAGCATATATATTGGGAATATACAATAATTGTATCAAGGTTAATCGAATAGTTCTGAGGGACTTGTCGGCATCCAAGCCTGAATGGCAATGAGAATCTTGCACTGCCAGCATGACGGTACGTCCGAATGTTGAAACACGCCCGACTATATCCACATCAATTTGAATGCATCTATTGATCTTGGGTTTCTGTATTGACATCTGGTTTAACTAGATGTTATTGCTCATTGCTTCCAGCAACGATATACACCGACTGTCTCGGGTACACGATGCATCATATGCTCCGCTGTCCGGCCAGACGCAGCCAGTGGCGACGTAGGTGTTTCTTTTGGAGTGAGCTGGCACCACTGACACTGATTGTGTTTTGGAGCATTAGGCTTCCAGTAAATAGGGGTAATAGCCTATGAGAACTGTCTTTGGAAATTCGTTGGCATAATTAGAACCCGTCTAAGGGCGAAGGGAGGACAGTAAGTAATCAGTGAGAAATGGTAAAAAGATAATTGCGGTAATTCGTACAGCCGACAGAATATTGGCGCAATGGGAAAGAGTGGGGCATCAATTATTTTGTATAAAGAGGCGCTATTAATGCTCGCAACAACAACGGGGAAGCATATGCTGGGTGAACTCCAAGTGCTTCAATTGATATATAGCAACGACGAGCTGGTAACACGTCGAAAGGTCTGCCCCTGTCGTCATACAACCAGGCGTTGCACGGAGAAATCAGTAAGAAATCAATTAATGAAAACAGGACCGGCCTATATCACGGCAGATATAGCCCCAGATCTGCCATTATCAACCAATGTAAGGTGCAAAAGCAGGGGTAACGTGTAACTCCGATAGCAACAAGTCTATGGTTGGAAATAATAATAATAATAATAATAATAATACTAAAATAAATAAGTAAACAAAATAAAATAAGGAGCTTTTGAAGGGATGAGGAGTATTATAGTATCAAAGATTCGGCTGAAGGCGCTCGGGCGGGATTTTGGCAGACAGAACTTGATTGTTTTTGATGTTTCACCAACTGAACATCAGTGTGAATGAGGGGGCAAATTCCAGGTTAATTGGATAAATAGATGTGTTTCTGGAAGGTCTTTAATCAAGGGGTTTCCAAAGAAATACTGGTAAATCTTAATGAAGTCGTTGAGATGCAAGTCATAACTATCTGGTCCAAGTTCAGCCTCACGCTGACTAAAAAGCATATAAAATTTACGATATACGGCCATATACAATATTACCGCTCCGTTGACAGCCATCCTGCGAGTAATCTCTGTATGGGAAGGTATTGCTGATGTCCTTACAAGCTATCAACAAAATTACCATCCCGAATTGGGATTAGCGGCGATAATTTAGCGCACGGACCATATACTTAACTTCGACTTTTCCTTTCAAGCCTCAACTTTTTCATGACTTTAGTTCACCTTTTCTTTTCTTTTCTTTTTTTTTTATCCACATGTCGCTGCTCATCCTCACCAGTCAATGATGTCTTTGTCTGAATAAATGGATCTGACTGGGTGAGGGTGACTTGCAGATGTGGGAACTCAAAGAGGAGAAAAAATTTAGAATGAGAAACAAGTCCCAAATGGGAGAGGAAGCGCAGCAAGTTCTTATTACAGCCACCTTGATAATGTATTATTATTCTTCATGCATATGGGGACCAGTGAGCCATCAAGCCTCCTACCCACAATACCTGCAAGCCAATCATTCAGTGTTTCCCCTTTCTCGACAGTCCATTTATTTGCATCACATATTTCCAGCAGAATGGGACCCTAAAATGGTATGGACCAATCGATTCTGGCACTGGATGCAGATTGTACCGCAGCCTACCCTCCGTGCTTTTGTCGTTGTATCATGCAAATCATTGTTCACTACATTCCTTGTTCCCGCTCCTCGCAGCCCATTCGTTTTTTTATAATTTTAACAAAACCGACTTCCTGCCAATTAGCAAAAAGCGTGCCAACGATCATCGGCATTGGCATTTCAATAGGCGCTGGTGCTCTGGGGCCTTCAGGTTTCAATCACTTCACGGCCACAAAATTCATGATCACCCGTGGAGAAAGTGTCATGCTTGTGGCTGTTCAATTACTTCCTACCTCCCCCCCCCCCCCCCCCCGGGTCAATATTTGGTTTGGATCTTTTCTTCTTACGGCATGGCAATCGATCATGATTCAGGATTTGGCCATTTATGCCATGTGACAGGGCAAGCACATCTATGTACACGGCATGTGCAGTGTTAACATTCGGAAGCTGTCAGTACATAGTTTCGTTAATCCCAAGGCGTAGCAATTGAGATTAATCTCGATGTTGCTCTGAAACCAACGCCATCAGAACGGGATGACTTTCAACATCATTTTGAGACCTCATAAGTCACATTGCACCGCTTTGACTATAATTCTGGCCAATCAGAATTTCCTGCGGCAATTTCATATTTTTCTTTTTCTTTTTTCCCCCAGAGTGACAGATCAGGGCTTATCCGGTGAGGAAGAAACATACCAAGTGCCAAGAAATCATTACCTGTCCATACCCTGCCTCCTTCAGTCCAGCGCTATTTGCAGTCCTTTATCCGATTCCTGCTTACGTGGTCATACACCCTTACAACCACTACCAAAACCACGGCTGGTTGTAATCAATAATTAAACCGTCGTCGATTCAATATCCATATTAACCATTAATGCTGAGATCACTGCCAGATATGAGGCTGTCTATATTGACCCCACCACATAGTTAATGGGGTCTGCTTTGATGTCCAACAAACTGTGGCGGGGCTTGTTGTGTCGACAATAATAGGGTTTAGATTGTCGTTGGCCGTTATGATGGCTTTCGCACAAGCCATAGAGTCTAAACTATGACGGCAAAAAAAGAAAGAAAAATATAAAAATATAATGTGTTTGGAAGGGAAATTATATAACGCTATTCACAGGGTTATTGCTACTTACACGCACGCAGAAGGTGAAGATGGTGCAGTGGCTATGCGCAAGGCATGGAAACAAAAATGGAATTGTTCAAGTTATATTATTATTGTCGGATATCTACCTATCCAGGGATAGGTGGATTGAAAATATCCCGTCTTTTTTTGAATTCGGCACAAAGGTCACCAACTTTGAGGGGCTAGCGTATGAAAGGTTACTCGCAGCATCCTAGTGGTTGGCGCACGGAGGGCACCGTTCAATGATCCCGACTGATTGCTACTCTGGATTCTTTGTGCGTGCCGTTTACTCGCACCCACGATCGGGGTGGGCTTTCTGGAACCTGGAACCTGACGTGAATAATACGAGCATTTCAAATTCGAAATAGGCTAAAACTATCTCTCGAGGCAGCTCCTACATCCTAGCCTGGCTAGACTACTTTCGACCGAGGATCTCTCGGGGAATGATCCAGAGTGAGATCTTCAGCGCTCTCCCTTAGCGTATGATTGGCAGCCATCAAACTGGTCAAATACGATAGGGCTATCAGTTATTGATTGGCACAAGCCCAAAAGACTCCTCCCATATCCTCGATCGACAAAACCTGGGGGTTAAGAAATTAGCATATGTTGGAAAGGAATGAAAAAGAAAAATACAAGCTATGAAACTCCAGTCTTCTTGTATTTTTCTATTTTACTTGGTAAGAACAGAGGAAAGATATGAGAAATTTACTGATGCCAAGTGCTCTAAACATTCCTTTTCATAAATTTCTATATGTTCCAATGGTCCGTTTCCACCATTTCTAGCTGAACAGGTTGTCTGTCCTATGGCTGTTCAGCGGCCTTGTCCGCCTGTGGAACGCACCTTGAGTGGAGTCCTGTTAAAAACGAAGTTTTATTAAAGCTTCTTTACGCCGCTCATTGTCGTTATACATCTATTTCGTGCTTGATTTTAATTTTTGAATGAGCCTATCTGCCACCCGTTGTTGTTTTGCTCATTTGGTTTGCTATCATTTCTTTTATAATCATCTCTCCTATTAAAAAAAAAAAAAATTATTCTTATTCCATTTAACTACTGCGCTCACATGAATTTCTAGAGGTCGATCACCTAGGTTTTTTGCCCCGCCAATTCGCTGCCAGAAAGTGCTTCTTTTTAGATTGATTTCTAGGGCTAGAACAAGCGTTACACCCCATAGACCCTGCCTTTTCTCGCAGGTGCTTCTGAACACCTTTTCCATCTAACCTCCCCCACGCCCATTGATTCATCCCGGCTCTTTTCCGACGCAGCATACTTGTTTCCGCGAATTGCGGATGCCTTCCCCCCCCCCAAATAATTCCTCGTCTTTGCATATAAAAATTCGGTGCGGCAGCTGGAAATGCGCGAGATTTTAAGCTCACTCGTGGCGAAGTAAATCATCTTACCCCCCCATATGCAAAATATTTGCGCCCTTGTTATCATTTTGTTTTGCCAGACGAAAGGTCAGAGTTCAGGATCTTGGTGGAAATCGCATCCCCGGGTCTAACCCCCAATCCACACCCTTGTTTTTTGAGATTGGTTGCATGAAGCGCATGCTATTGCTCTCATTGCCGTTCACTATATTGACTTGCGGACAGAGTTTATCAATCTTCGGACTTGAACAAGCGCTCGGTGGGACCTTAGAGAGCCTGCTGAGAAGGATTTGGAGTGACCAATCATTTGCTGGTCCATTTCCACTGTCGCCCGACTGCCGCAAGGCTCGCCCCCTCGAATTCTCCCTGCAGTTTTGAAGCGCATTCTCTGGTTTATTGTCTTGGGCCTTTCCCGAAGTCAAAGCCAACCTAATCGAGCAGCGCTTCCTTAACTAATCCTCGGCGGAATTTTGGCCTGACAAATGAATAATAGTAAGCCCATTTCCATCTGGTACAACTTCAAAGACAGCTTGCTTGTGTGGATTATTTTGACCACCTCCCGCTGTCAGCGGAAGATCGTCCATGTTTTGCTGAAGGCCTTTTGCTTTCTTTTCATTTTCATTTTCATATTTTTCATTTTTTTTTTCATTTTTTTCAATTTTTTTCAATTTTTCAATTTTTTTTTCTTTTTTTCTTTTATATATAAATAAAAAAAATTCCCGCTCTTAACTATGATCCCTTTGATTCCATCGCTATTCCCCTCGCCCACTGCTTTCCCCTGCTCGCTTTGATATCTCTTCCTGACCGATTCTCCCACCGATGCATGCTCGTGTAACCTAGCTACATCCGGAGATACCCTTCTGCCTTACCATACTTCATCCGTATCTATTTCATCGTGTTGTGTTGTTTCCTCCTAATTCTCACATGAGCCTTTATAAGGTCCAAACCTAATAAGATTATATGCAGCTTCACTTCTTCAAAATTCTTTTCAGCTTGACTATCCTACCACCTCTGAGAGCGAGTACGTCAGTACTGAACGAGCGTTCTCTGGAACAACTTCCTTCCCGACCGAAGACGTCGAAGCTGAGCGTCGGAGGACCGATTCACTGGGCCATCAACTAGCACATCCGAGTTCTGTACCCGTCACCAACGGTTTTAGGTACGCCGCACAACATTCTGCGGTACAAGATGTGCCGTAGGTGCCCAGATTTCTTTTAATTCTGACTGCCCTTGCATTCCCACTCGCTCTCGGTGTTTGGCAACTCGACTGCTACCTCCCTGTCTTGTGTTTCATGCTACTTGAATTATTGCCTTGCTTTTTTAGAAAGGCCGGACAGACTTGCTGGCATCATATTATTATTATCCTGCTGCATAACGATGGGTTGTTGACAACTAGACTCTCACCTCCCTCGGCAACCTAAGTCAGCAGACAGTTCTGGAATTTATTTTCACTGATTATGCAGCTGTTTGTTCTTTATTTTAGTCCCTCATAGTGCTTTTTTGTTAAACTTGTTTTTATCAACACAATACACTGGTGAATCTGTGTCAGACTGCTAATGTTGGTATCCTCCTGCTCCAGCTTTCATGCTGCACCAGGTCTTCTCATGAGTCCGATTGAACCATCCCACCGGTCATCATCAACAACCTCCAGCTCAGCTACTCCCTCTTACGCTTACGTTTCGCTGACAAACCCCGTCTCGAATACCGTGACTTCGGCGGAAAGCTTCTCTACACAGTCCGCTTACTCCCATACAACAAACTTGCAGTGGAATGACAGAATTGGTGACCTAAAAATCCAACGGGTACCTGCTCTGTAAGTTACCCTCGTACTCTCCTCCGATTTGTATACGCTTTCATGTTTCCAATCTCATATAATATCAACTTCCTCATATAGTCAGCCTCCATCGGGCATGTCGCCACCCTTGCAATCACAGGGCACGTTGGTTTCAGGGACTAGCGGTTTGATTCCAAGGGCTGATCCGTATTCGATCCCGTACCCCATCGGTCGAAACACATATTCCTCTCCGCACAGCACCATGACAGACATTCCCCGATACTCCCAATACCCCGCAACACGAACGATTGATGTTCACTCAAATACCCCATCGATGTACAACCACTTGGTGGACACTTCACCTCGAGGTTGTCAGTCGAGCTCTGAGGCTCCCCCATTTCATGAGACCAACGTTCTTCATTCCGTTTTTACCAACAGCCATCAAACTATCAATCCAGAAATCCAAGCCAAGATACATAAAGGTTTTTTTCAGGTAGATGACAAGTGGACATGCTATCGTCGCAACTATTTTTCAGTATCTTGTTCATTCTTGCTCCGTCCATGGGCTCCCAACTCTCCTCTCTACGTCCAACTTCCGAACAATAACCCACAGTGCGTTCGCTCGTTCGCCATGTCAATATCTGCTGTCGTGAATGCGCAGGAAAACGAAACACGGGAACTTGTCCAGCATACTCCCAAACGGGACAAGCAGTCAGAAAAGAAGCCAGGGAGAATTACTTTGCAACCACAGCAGCCACCGTCCCTGGTATTAGCCCATGCGTCTTCAGTTGGACCTAATCATATTTCATTTGCCGCCCCGCCACACACCTCGAGCATGCAATTGGATTATGGGTCATCCTACGGAGCTGCTCAGCAAGCACAACCACCCACTTCTCATACATTTGAGCGTATTCAATTTCAAAAAGCGACTGCAAACAACGGAAAACGCCGTGCTCAACAGCAGTATTACAATCTGGTTGTCGAGCTCTATGCTGAAACTCCCACCCCAAACGGAGTCGATACTCAATGGGTCTTAATCGCCAAAAGATTGTCCCATCCAATGGTCGTTCGGGGTCGCTCACCAGGCCATTATAAAGACGGACGACGAGACAGTTCCGCAAGCATGGGACCAGATGGTGGCACTGGAAGTTCTGGGGATGGTAACGGAGGAGGTTGCTTACCACCCGGCATGGGTCATACCCCACGCACCCATCTCTCATTAATGTCACCATATGGTACAAACCATCGAAATCCCGCTTCGTACAACTACCACCGACTACCATCTACAGACCACTCTCCTCTAGCTGCAAGCCCCTTGATATCATCGCCGTCATCCTCACCCGATTATCACAATTATAACATGATCAGCGGTTCGATGGATCCACTCGAGACTATCAAAGACAATACAGCTGCAGGAGCCTATAGCGACCCAACTCTTACGACCGTTTCCTCTGACTCGAGGAAAATATGCATTGAACCTTCGAACTTGCGTTTGCATATGCCAAGTTACGATGACGACGTGACTGTCAAAGCCCAAGAGGACCACGATGGCTCTTTCAATGGAGCATTCGATTCTATGATCCCAACCTTGCAAAACGAGCAGGAGGGCTCGAATCACTATCTAAAACGACACGGAATAACTAGTTATTTGAGCCAGCCTCCAGGCCCCAAATTCGGTGGCTCCTACATCAATCGCTCAAGTGACAATACATACGGACGGCTAGACTCAATTCACAATCCTCAAAGTCTCTGTTCTTGAAAGTCTTCGACGATGACGTTCATAAACCACGATAGCATAGCGCTCGAGAACAACTGCACTCTACTCTATGAACAATTTGATTAATTTTCTTTTATCAACACGTTAATGATTTCCTTTTTCTGAGTTCCTTTCTATACTTTCCATTCGGGACCCGCAGCACACAGTTAATTAATGAGAATTGCTGCTAACAACATTTTCCAAGTTCCCTCTGGAGCTTCTCTCTCCCTTCCCAAATATGTTCTGGGACCTTGATAAGTTTTCATTTGGTTTCATTATCTATACCGTTCATGTCATCACTTCCATTCAATGCCTGGTCACTCATGATCCGAACTTGGTTCCACTGAAAGGATTTTTTAATTGCTTCAGTGTAATACGAAGCCATCCTTTGTAATCAAGTTGCAGCGAAGTCCGGGCATAGCCAATTTCCAACACTAAAGGCTCAATCACACTGATGTGTTATAGCCCCCTTTTCCAAATGACTTGATTTTTGGTTTTGCACTAGCTCTCGTTTCTCGCTTTTCCTTCTTTTTCTTCTTTTTCTACATGTTTTATTACGGATGGGAATCAAAAGTTTTCCCCGGTTGTGCTTCCTGGTTTCTATAGGACGAATCGCATTTGGAACGGCAGAAAGGGATTTCCTTGTACTTTTCCTCTCTTTCTTTTTGCTGGTTTACAACCCCTCCAGTTCGTATTATTGGGCAAGTCAGAAGTGGATAGGTAGAAACAAAACAGGAAAATAAACAGAAAGTTACACAGGACAATATGTACGGTTTTCGTGGTGGAGGGTGGAGGGTGGAGGGGGAAGGGGGAGGGAAGGGGAGGTGGGGGAAATAGTTGGAGGGGAACTGGAGTTGGAAGGGGAGTGAGAGAAGGGAGTAAGAGGGGGGAAATATGCTGTGCTCAGTGTTTTGAGTTCGTGAGTTTCGCTTTATTTTGTTTTTGTGGATTGGACTGGGAGGAGCTGGGGGGCCTGACTGGCTTCGTCTTGGAAATGGAGCACTTCTTGTGTTGACCTCGACAGACGCATGGGCATTCGCAAGGGAAGCAAGAAGCAGAAATGTTCTAGTTAGTTTGAAGTTCGAGTCACGTTCATATATGTGCTTTGTTGAAAGGGATCAGGCTGCGACATGACAACATTCTTTTTTCACTCATTGTCTTTTTATATCCCTTTACAGCCCTACACCCTTTGAGACTGTCTTCGCTGCTATATGGACGTTGTAGTATGTATGTACATGTGCATACATGTAAATCCGCTCAGGAGTCCCTGAAACGACTACACGTGATTTCTTAAACCCTAGTACCTACCTAGTACCAAGCACAAAGATATTCACCCCTTTTTCACTGGCAGGTAAAACTTTAGCCCTGTAGATCGCAGAAGATATAAGCATTCTGAAATTTCCAGCTGTCTCCTAGTCATAGCATTTATTCAATCCGAAACCACAGTCTAATCATATAGGAGTCTTTCTATCCTTCACCCTCTGTCAATTCTCACACAAAGCAGCCTGAATAAATAGTTCAATAAACCAGATAGTATTTTTCAAGGATGGGAAAGATCACTCGTGGGTGACGTTTTCACCTATGTAGGAACCCATATTGATTAATTCAATATTTTAGCTTTTGGTCGCCGCTAAACAGTCACCATCAAAATATCATGAACTGTACTGGTATACACGAGGTGAGCAGTGGCTACACGAGGCTCCGTGCCCGGTAATACATTCCCTTCATCATCCCTGAACTTCTCACCGTTCAAGAGGACGGCTCAGCACAGGATAATTAGGCATAAACAGGTAGATATATTGCCTAGGCCAACTCCAACTTTTCTTGTCAATTATCGTATTATTTTTCATTAGCTGATTTCCATTGCTCGGTTTCACAATTCGGGGCATTTATTGGCTATGAACTGCACCAAAAGCCGATGGGAATTAAAAAGAAGTGGAACTATGTTGAATATCCACTTGGGACGCTGCATGGAGCAGACGGTTTGAGAGAAAATCAGGAAGCCAATCAATCACCGTTAAGGGAGAAGTTGCAGTATGGAAAACGGAAAAGAAAGACAGTAAACCAAAGGTAATTTGTAGCGGATTGAGACATCATGTTGTCAGGCGGTAATGCTCAATGGGGAGCTGTCAGAAGGACAAAGCATGAGGCGCAATGAACAGATCAAACTGTTAGACAGAATGAGGTGGTTGGAGGGAAGAATGAATATCCATGGACACTGGTGGCTAGGGCATGCAGGAATGATGCAAATCGAGGTAGTAAATTGTGCGTGTTGATGCAGTTCCTGTTGTTTTGGAGTTAAGGAGAATATGAAGGCCAGTTTCGGGGAACTGACAAACTGCATTGGCTTCTTTTCTTGAAGTCATCCCAGATATCTCGTATACACGTCCATAGACATCCCGAAAGACACTCTGTGGTGGTGGTGTTCGGTGTCAAATGAGTGAGTTGGAGGGAGGCTACTATCCTGTAATCGTGGACTGAGTGGTAGCAGGAAGATGAAGAATATCAAACCGTTTCGGAAACCGTTTCAGAAGAGCCGTGAGGTTCGTAACATTCACGCACGAAGAAACCCAATGCTAACTGATTTGTTTGATCGATATCCGCTAAACCAGTGCCTTCGCTTTTGCAGGAATATAGTAGCCCTTTCGCCGATTCGAAGATATCAATGTGGCCTAGCCTGGGCAGAAGCAGCACAAGGGAATACAAATTAGTAGCCAGGCTTGAAGAAGTTTCCAAGAATGAATGGAAATGAGCATGAACAGCTGTTTCATTTTCCCGCCTTCAACACCCCGGCATGCCGTCGCCCTATCGTAATATTCAAGAGACTTTTGCTTCCCTATAGACACGAACATGTCTAATCCTTCATGATCACCAAGACGACCAGGTTTTTGAAACACATCCAATGCGATTAATGGGGCGTACATTTTGAGGTACACAGCATCGGGAATGAAAAGGTATTTTGTTTCAATCGAGATGCGATTCGACGATAAATCGATGATGGATGGTCAGCAATGGGGGTGAAGGGGAATGATTCAAAAATCAAATCAAGCTAAAAACCGAAGCAACGTAAGCCACCTGCAATGAGAAAATGCATATCAACTTGCTTTCTCAACCCAATCCCTCACTGCAAGTCTCAAATGAACTGATCATCAAATCCCCCCCTCTCTCTCCTCAAGCTGCATTTCTCACTCCCTCGCTCGTTTCGGTCCTTGCTTCGGGTTCTCGCGGCCCAAATCCCCCCAAAATCGGGAGACCGCAATGACGCGATATGATATGCCATTTCGGCGATGTCTTACTCCACTCTTTTGTGTAATCAAGTCCCAAACCGTCCTCTAGCCCTCTCTCGGTTTCACGACGGTAGACCTTGAGACCTCTTCCCAGTCCTCAATAAAATCGAAAGCAAAAAAAGGAAAGAAAGTAGAGGAGATCAGATCGAGCTCTCCCCGTTTGTCAACCGCCCAGACACATGGCGTCGACGCCTTACCACCCTGATGATCTTTCAATGCACTCCTTGTCAACTTCAACAACAGGAATGTGTGTACGTACATACGTACCACCGCACTCCCAAAAACCACCACCAGCCCAAAAGGAATTAAATTAAAAAGATGAGAAGGAAAGGGCGAAAAGCTTAATTCTTACAATCCATCTCTTCCATTTAATCAACGCCATTAACAGCATATCGGACAAACTCGCATCAGACGCACATTAACAGGCCAACACTCCTCTCCCACACTCGTCCCCTGCCCCTGCCCTTCCACCCTCTTGACCACTCCCCAGCGATGTGGAAGCCGCTGTTTATATATATATATATATATATATATAAATATATATATTCCTCACTTCGGTATCTGCCGTTCAACGCTCGAAACCTTGATGGTCATCTTGCGCTCTAACTCCTCTTGTTCCTCCTTAGTTGGGACCATTCCTAAAGCCTCCTCGATTTTTGGAGACCACCACAATCCAAAAGTGGCGTAGGCCATCAATCCGGCTCCAAAGAGGAGGCGGGTGCGCGGGGAGAGGTTGCGATAGGAACTAGAATGGAGAAAGAATTAATTAGGTTTTCTTCGTTTTCAGCTTCTGTTCTGGGTGCAGAATGGACTTTTTTTTTTTTTTTTTTTTTTTTTCAGTATCTTCTTTCATATTGGGGATTTCCTATTGATCGGTAAATTAAGTAACTTGTAGGATTCTAAACATACCTCCAGAGCGACATTGGTAAGGAATTGCTTGCGCTTGATAGAATGATGACATGCGGTTGAAGAAGTATTGTCGGCAATGGAGTTGGCGTTAGTTCAAAAATGGTTTAGCATGGTTAGCTGCTCACTTTCAAACCATTAAACATTGGACTTGGGTCTTCTGTTGATTTTCTCCCTTTATTTTATTTTATTTTATTTTATTTTTTTTTTATTTATTATATTTTGATTCCTTAATACCAGAATCAACATTGAACGTTCACCGTATAACTTTTGCATTCTACCTAAAGCTATGTAGATATCGATAGAAAGATTATAAAGCTCTTTACCCTACACCAAACGCTAATCTGAGATATTCTCAATTGAAAGCACGCACTAGGAATATATATCTACTATATTTAACAATGATGAAATGTTTTGAATTCATTTGCATTCTTTCCCTGCTATGTTGCGAAGAGTTTGGTTCCAACAGAGATGCATCTTTGTCTTCCCCCCTTGGACACATAGCGACAAGTTGAATAAAAAGACAAAATCATACTAAGGTGGAGCATCATCCCGGGCGTCGAGAGTTCCCAAAATCTCAATTTCATCCGACATACACTCTCACTCTACCTCAAAAAAAACACACAAATATACCAACATATATATATTTATTCCACTATATAAATATAAAATAAAAAGCAATCCAAAAATAACAAGCATGCAAGCAAATAAACAAAGAGCAAAGAACCAATCAGGTATAAACGAGAAATAAATAAGTAAATAAAAAAGGGAATATCAAAAAAGGCCAAAGCATCAACGACAAGACGGATCAGGATCATAAAGTTACATTCGAGCAGGAAAAAGGGTCAAAACGTAAAGGAAAACGAAAAAAAAAAAAAAAAAAAAAAAAAAAAAAAAAAAAGACAAGATCATACCCAAAAATGGCCAGAGAAAACAGCAAGACAATTCTTTAAAAAAAAAAAAAATTATAAAAAAAATCAAAAAAAATCAAAGACGTACATACATTATATCGGAATAACCACAGGGGAAAGGAGGAGAATATTCAATTTGAGGGGGTGAGGGGGAGAGTGGAAAAACTTTGCAGAGCGTCAGGGCGGGAAGTAAAATATACTGCACAATCAAGTATAAACGTAAATGACAAAGTCAAGCGGTTGAACATCCAAAAGTATGCAAAATTAATGAGTGCACGAGTCGATGATCCGATGGGGCTTTCTAGATCGCAAATGTACACCGAGGCCAGCGCAATGGTTGGGAGAGCAGGCAGAAATAGTGGACATTGATGGATTTGGGTGGTATATATTAAAGACGGATGACGAAGTTGATCTGGATGCGTGTGCTTTGTTGCCCTGGCACATTCAATCGCCGTAGACAAACGGGGACGTGGCGATCGATCGATCGAGAAACTAGGGTGGAAATGGAAGGATTCAAGAGCAGAGCAGTTGGTTATCTCGAGTTCAGCACATTTACTTCCCATATGCACAGTTAATCTCCTTATGAAAATGGGAGGCGATCTTCCTTCGCTGGAGTTTCTGCGCAGCAGTGATGTAGCCCTAGATACGAATAAAAGGCTCAAGTAAGCAATGATAATTCTGTGAAAAAAATGGAGGAAACCAAATGTAAAACGAAAAATAAAATAAAATAAAATAAAATAAAAACTCACATTTTGCGGCGTCCACTCCTCATCAGAGAGCACAACCCCCTCAATAATCTCAAACGGCTTCAACCCACCAGCACGACCGGCATTCTGCAGCTCCTTCAGGACAATAGCGTTCAATTTCTGATCGTGGACAAGAGCCTCCAAGCTACCCCCATGAATCCCGTTTGCCTTCGCTAGCGCAACTAGAGCAGGTTCTGCAGGTATAATAACCGCAATCGGCTTAGTCTGATCCTCTGCAGCATGCACCATGATATTGGCGACAACAGCAGCAGAGCGATAAATCGACTCCAACTTCTCAAGAGCAATATATTCGCCATTGAGTGTCTTGACCAGATTCTTCTTCCGGTCGATGATCTTCAGATGGCCGTACTTATCAAACTCGCCAATGTCACCAGTCATAAACCAGCCATCCTCCGTTATGGCAGACTTGGTTTCTGCTTCGTTGTCATAGTATCCCTCCATGACACTGGCGCCGCGAATCCACACCTCACCTTGCGGCGGATTATTGTGCGAGAAGTAGCCAGCTTCGGGGAAATCAACAAGTTTGGCCTCAATGGATGCGGGGAGATCGCCAATTGCATTTGGGTTCCATGCCATTGGATCGTTAAGGGCGCCCATGGCAGAAGTTTCGGTCAAACCGTACCCGTTAATCATCGGACAGAGCGTCATGGAAAGGAATCGTTGGGTATCCTTGGAAATCGGCCCTCCGCCAGTCAACATGATTCTCAAACGACCTCCAGTTGCTTCCTTGACTTTCTTGAAAACCACAGCATCCAGAATACCGGACCCTGGGAGGCCAGCGGACATTAGGAAGTTCTTGGCGGCAAGCCCTCCCCAGAAGATTCCCTTGATGAGTGCACTACCCTTGTTTACATTGCCAATAATTCCCTTCTTGACGGTTTCCCACACAGCTGGTACACCAACAAGGACGGTTGGTTTGAGTTCTCGGATGTCACCCTTGCAGTTCCGCACGGATGTGTCAGAAAGAGTTTTGGGGCTACCGTAACCCATGGTTCCACCCCAATAAAGACAAAGATTCTCGAACATAAATTCGAGTATATGTGCTTGGGGAAGGTAGGTCAGAAGAACGTCTGACGGGCCCAGGTAAGGTCCCACAATGACATCAACGCCGGCCACTATAAACTGGGGTTAGCTTGGCAAGCCTGGAGATAAAAGGTGACAGGAAAATAGGAAAAGCGTGGTTGACATACTAGCAGCAACAATCGTGCTATGCTTCAAGGCGACACCTTTCGGGGGCCCTGTGGATCCGGAGGTATACATTACAGTGCCTGGAAAGTTACACATTCAAATTAGCGGGTGAATAAGCCATACCATATGGTATTTTGTCACTTACACAGGTCATCTGGTGTTGGTGGTACGGCGTTCACGGGATTTTCTTCGCCAAGTTTCCGAAGATCTTCGAAGCTGATGACGTTGAGGTCGGGGAAGCTAGCCTTAAGGCTGTCCAGATCTGCTTGTTTGACTTCGGTTGCTGTGTCTACGATAACATGTTTAATGTCCTTTGCATCCTTCAAGACATGCTCAAGCGTGGGTAGGAGAACAGGGTCGAGGAAAATTGCGGTGCTGTGTGTCTGCACAAGGGAATGCTTCAAGCCGTCCTCTCCCAATGAATCATAGGCAGTAACGATAGTCATCGATTGCGATGTAGCGCCTAAGGAAATGTTAGAAAACGAGAGAGTTGCCAAAAAAACACAGAAGCTGTGATGGTGCTTCGGGAGTAAAATTACCATGTGCAGTCGCCAACCAATGCACACTACGTAAACAAAGTTAGCACGAATGATAATCTGATTATCAAGGTAACAAGAGAGTCTAATAAATACTAAACTACACTCACCTTGTAGCAGCAAACAGGTGGATCATGCTATTCTTCTCCAACCCAAGCTTCCTGAAACCCGCACCCAGCTCCAAAACAAGTTTCTCATACTCGATAAAGCTTAGATATGTGTATCCGCTTAGCTCAAAATACGTCCAAGCCTTGTCGACCTCTTGCTCGACGCCATCCACCATCTTCTTAACCTTCTTGTTCTCGACATGCGTATTGACTATCCGGCGCGATCCAACAGCTTTAGCGTTTCCGTACTGCTTCACGCTCCATTGCAGGTTCTCGTAGAGTGTGGAGATTTCTGGGTGGGGTTGGGTCAGAAGGCCATCCTTTGCGGCAGGGTGACGACGAGGGATGCTCTCCCCTTCAACCTTTTCGGCGCCGGGAACCTCGACGCTGAAGGGAGGCTTCTTGGAGATACGGGGCAGGAGGGGGAGGCCATCCTTTTTCGTCATGGTGAAGTGAATAGAGATGTGAACGGTTGTGAGCTGGTCAGAGATAACGACAGGGAGTTATGATGCGAGAGTAATGTAACGGGTATCGTGAGTGAGAGGAAGGTTGCTGACAGGCGGCAAGGACAGCTATATAGCCAGGGACACGTCGTCGGAGCTCTCTGATTGGATTACCACGCCTGAAAATGTTCTGTCCTGGGGCTGAGAGGTACAGTGTAGAATGAGGGCGTTGACGGACGTTGTCGGACGTTGTTGAATGAAGATAGAGAACAAGAGGCTGAAGTGAGTGACACAGAGCAGAGAAAGCGACGGAAAAGGAGAGGGAGGAAGGAACGAAGCAGGAGTGGTGAGAAGCAAAGCCAAGGTCTTGTTGAAGCCCCGAGTCCTCTCGTATAAACCGCAAGCACCTTCAACCCGATCCTTGAAGTTAAACGCCTCCACAGGCCCTGGGTACCGGAAGACTTGACTAGTTAGTCAGTTAGCAAATAGATATCAGCTTATATAATCACATTCCTAGTTAAGTTAACTATAGTTAAACTAGCTAGTTTCTTTCAATTTATTTTTATGTTTTATATCACTTACTATCTTAAATTATTATTATAATTTATTTTTAATTATAAGTTAAATAAGAAAAAAACTCATTTTAAAATTTATTTATATAAAAAATTAAAATTAAAATTAATTTATTAATTTATTAAATATATATATATATATATTATTATTTTAAAAAAATTTCTATTAATAAAAAATAAAATAATAATAAATATTTCTAAAAAATATCAAAGTTTTTATTATTATTTTTATACATTTTTAAGTATTTATATTTAACAATAATAAATATAATATTTATTATAAATTAAAAATAAGATAACTATTATACTTTAACTTTAAATAATTATAATATAACTTTTTTTATATTATTTTAATTATTTTAATTTTTTTTTTTTTTGGCAATTGATAATTTAGTAATATTATTAAACTAACTAGTTAACTAGGTTAACTAGTTATATTATTAAAAGCTAGTGACAAGTTGATAATTAGTTACATACTTTAAATAAAGTCATTATTAAGCTCAATTTAGTCTTCTTGTAATACGACCACTTGACAAAGGGGTGGCTCGATTTACCAGTCAAGCCAGTATCCCTGTGACTTAAGTCTGAAACCACGTATTGAAAAATCTTGGTACCTTTCTGCCGCCGCCAAAAGGTACGTAGTCCCGTGATCCGCACTCGCACAGCTGGTGAGCATATATATATAGACCGATGAGACAGCAAATCTTGATCACTTTGTCTATCTATATCGCGCTACCTTGGCTACACCAGGTAATTTAGAACAAGTCTTTTGCTTGCGTTTTCTTTTTTCTCGAGGTCGTCGCAGGCAGACTGTGAGTGACCGACAGGTATCGGCTTACGAGGAAGATCACTTGGCCGCACAAAAATGCATTTGATGGATAAATAAATATCCAGATTAGCTTTCCCACCTTCGCCGTTTCCAAGGATCCTAAATAATTGGCCAGACAAGGCCAGCTGTCAGCTGCCCTCCTTGTGTGCGCGGATATTCTAATCTTTTTTTTTTTTTTTAGGTTCTTTTCTCGGCTGCAACTTTCTGACAAGGAGTGAAACTGCCTAGGCACACCAAGAGAACGACGGAATCATATGAGAGTTTGACAAAAATGGGCAGAGGCGATTTAAAGTAACTACAGTGAGCCCAAGCGCCAAGCGGAAGTGAGATTCACAGTCAAAGGGGTCCATGGCTCCATAAGCATCATCATCGACAGGTTAGTTCTAAGCTGAATAAAGTGCATATCTTGGAACTTGGAAATGGAGAGAGTGAAGGAGTAAAGAGAGGGGGGTCTGACGTGGACTCTGTTAATGGCCCCAAAGCATTATTATTGCCCTCGTAATACTCCGCATAGAAGTCAACGAACCAGCCGTGAAAATTGCTTGGCTCCGAGCGAGCCCCTCAGAGCTGAGAGGGGGAGAGAGGTTTTTTGACGGTTAGATCCTGACCTATTTCTACTTTTATTCCTTTTAGTCTTGCTGTCCTTTTTGTTTGACCAGGAGGAGACTCTGATTCCAGACCATGTGAGCTGTTCTGTGGCTTGGGAGACCTACATAGTCGGGCCTCTTTTCCATTGCAAAGGCAACAAATGGCAACAAAACCAAGACCCTCTGGCAGCCACATATTGGCTGGGCAAAGGGGGAAACCCCTTCAGATAAGACTGAAAACCAACCACCAACCTACTCTGTTGATGAATTGAGGAAGTGATCGCAGATAGGGGGAATTTCCAAGATGTCGTCTTTTTGAAAAAAAAAAAAAAAAAAAAAAAAAGGGAACCCTTAACACCCCTACCTCATCCTGGTTGCGGAAGCCATTCTCTTGGCGCCCTGTATTTTGTGCCAGCGCGAGAAAGTTCCATATTCCATACAGCAGGACTGGTTACAAAGGTGATGGGAAAGAAGTTTGGTACACTCACAGGATACACGGGTACGTACACAGCCACGACCTCAGGTAACTAGTGCCATCGAATGCCTGGATGAAACGAGTGACAGTCAGGGGAAAGGGAAGGGTTCCTTGCATAGACTCGTTTTCCAGAAGATTGAATAAAAGACTTTTCTACACCGTACTTTTTTCTTTTTTCTTTTTCCTCTTTTTTTCAGCGGAGCAAAGTCTCACGTTTTAGAAAGGAGGCAAAACAAAGTATCTCCCATTATTCTGGTAGGTAATAACTAGATGTTTTGCAGCCACTTTACGCGTAATTTGACCAATCCTCCCCTCCCCAAGAAGACCCGAGTACGTTCACCAGTTCTAATTGGGAGGACGGGGAGGTTTGTTTGTGCTGTTTGCATTTCCCAACAATATCGGGCTTTTGGAAGCGTGTTTTTTTTACGGCGGAATACGCAATAGCGTGGTCTTTAATTACAACTACATCTGAGGATGAGTAATCAAGCTTATATTCGAAGTCAGCACATGAAGGGAAATAGGGGTTCGCCTGTATCCGGCATCTATCCGCAAAGACTGGTGTTTATTTGTTTGTTTTTCCATTTGATTTCATATACGTCTTTGACATTGACACATAACTGCTGTCTCGTTGGACTGCATTTTCTTGTGTAGCGGATATCGACCAGTGTGTCTGGATATCAGCCCCCCCCCACCCCCCCCCACAGGTCAAAAGAACAAGTGGGTATGTCACTACATCCCTGCATCCCTAGGGGTGTATGGAGACTTCGAGTTTTATGGCACCTTGGATTTCATTTTCAGGAGAGAATAGTGCTCTTCAATTATCCCGTTATTCGTTTTACATGTACTCTCGTGAGTTTGCCAGGTGTCTCGTGATTTCTAGCCACGCATCAAACTATTGAAGATTTCTAAAACATTGTACTGAGATCAGCTCAGTACGTTTGTGTCTTCATTATATATTATCTCTTTCATGAATTTGGTGTCTAAACATAAGCGAACCATCTCAAAAAGTATCGAGGAAAAAAGAGCCATGCTAATTTTCTCGCTCTAGATGCAAAACACTGAATACATGAAAATGGCTGTCGAGTTAATATTAAAGTGACCTTTGGTGCTATATAGGCTTTTAAATGTCAATTGATCTGATCAACCAATCATGCATTTCCATGAGTTTTTGCATGTGATTGGGCCTGAAGTCGAAGACGCTGAAGAAGGTAAGGAACTTGGACGTCCCTTGAAGAAATAAAAGGGGAGAAATGTTTGATGTAGGCGGCACACACGCATTTGATATAGGGCATAGAGTCAATATCTGAACTCAAAAGAAGATCTATCCTCTACCCCTTATTAATTGGGAAAATATAGAGGCCTTCTCCCTATTCTGTCAGCAACTGCCCTCGCATACCCTTGGCTTTGTCGATTCACGCACAAGCACACTCGATCTCACGATCCACGGACGGGATTTTGTAATACGCCAGTCACCAACTATTCTCTCTTCAACCCGCTCAGGCGGTACTACGGGAGCAGGTACGTTTTTTTTGTCACGTTCGAATTTGACAGCTTTGCTTTAGATACCTTAGTCTCAAAGCTGGTGAAGAAAAGAAAAAAGAGGAGAGGGGAAAGATACACTTCCCAACCCAACGATGAAAAACCCCTTTTCTGACCGCCCTCTAGTCGTGTGGAAAATAACCCCCTTAATCGCAAAATGGCTCTCCTCTAAACAAAACATCTTCTGGACATCCTCAGTCCTAAACCCGGATTCGACTATCGTAGAGCTCGGCTGCGGAATATCAGGCCTAATAGCCATGACCTTGGCTCCATCCGTCAGCCATTACATCGTTACTGACCAAGAATACGTACACAGGTTACTAAAGGAAAACCTCGAAAGCAATGCCATAGCCACAGATAAAGGTGCAGGAAAAACTAGCTCAACTACATCACGCCACCGTAATCACCGCAATGGACGCCGCCCTCGCAAACAAACCCATTTTTCTTCTGGATGCCATCCAGACAATCCGATGGCGAATATCATATTTACCACGCTGGACTGGGAGCTCGACTCCCCTTCCACGCTGAAACGGGTTCTTGACATCCATGTGCAAGGGGCAGAATCCCATCCTTCCTCAGGTAGACAACATAACGCTACCTCTGGCAAAAAGGGAGAAGAGCCAAGGGAATTGGAAGGAGAAGCGAAGGGAGATCCTGGCTTCGACCTCCTTCTCGCCTGCGACTGTATATATAATGACGCCCTGATCGAGCCATTCGTGCAGACGTGCGCGGATATCTGTCGTTTGCGACCTGGGTTCATACCTCCCTGTTCCCCGTCCCCAGAAGGGAGGGGGGAGGTGATGGGTACATGTGTTCAGGAATCATCGTCCTTCGCTGCAGACAGGAGGAATCCTACGGTATGTGTTATTGCGCAGCAGCTGCGGGCGCCGGATGTGTTTGAGTCGTGGCTGCAGGCAGCCCTGGAGGAGTTTTGGGTGTGGAGGGTTTGTGATGAGGTTGCGGGGAAGGAGTTGGAGGGGGGGTCTGGGTATGTGGTTCATCTGCTTGTGTTGAGGGGGTAGACTGAGTTAGATGGAGGGGTGTGTGGAGTGGGACGAAAGGGATGTTGATATGATCCAGAATGTGCTTGTGCTTGGGACTGGGTGGAAAGTTCTTGTTGGCTTATCATGAGCTGGTCTCTGATCTCTTACTCTAATGTGGAAATCGGTTTTGAGACATGATATAAACCATCGAGCAATCGAGCACACATCTCAAAAGTCCCACAATTTTTGAGGTTGATCGTTACATGCAATCGAGATGACATTGTGCTCGGAAGACGAATTATCACACCGAAACACTGCAAAAAATCTTTGTGTTCGCCATCGACATCAACCCTGATCCTCAACCCGACTATTCAGAATTATCTGCAGCCGGCATCTAATTCTCGACCACTCCTACCACAAGACTAAAGAGAGGAAGGAAAGCAAATTTATCCCTCTACGCTATTTTTTTCATACCAAGCGAGGACAACACAACTCACTAAACAAAATACCCAAACTAAATCAATCTACCAATCACCCCACGCCTTCTGCTTCTCACGCCACGTCTTCTTAACCTCAAAACTCTCTCGACCCAGCATACTCCACTCCAATCTCCTCCACCTCTCAGTCCTCTCCAATGCATCCACAAAATGCTTCAGAGCCAACACAATCTGGCCCGACCACTTCTCCTTACTAACATTCCCCACCCCAACCACCAATGGCGGCATCAAAACTCTATCAATCCTCTTCCTCTCCCCACCATCCCCTTCCCGATCTCCTTCTCCTTGCACCCTGCCCCCTCTCTCCACCCCCTCCCTAACGTCTTAATTCCACTTCTCTACCTCACACAGCAAACTCCACATGCATTTGTAAACCACCTCGCGATCCCAATTTACACACTCCGGCATCCGCATAGTCGGACACAATGGACCCATGGCGCTGTCCACGCAATCTCCGCTGGAAAGGGGACAAGCGTACAGGAACCGGGCGGCGCATAGCCGCGCCAGCGTTCATATAGCACGTCCTGTGCTGCATGTGTGAAGGAATTATAGTTGTGGTGTGGTAGGCAGAAGGCGCGCGAGATGGCGCCGTTGAAGGCACTATCTAAGCGGCCGAAGGAGTTTGCCGGGGAGACGATCAGGTCAAAGGTTTCTGTTAATAGGTTTGAATCTAGTCGTTCGTGTAAGGGGGTTTATTTTATTTTGTGTGGGGAGTTGGCAGGGGAGACGGAGAGAGAGGGCCAGTATGTATTTAGAGCGTTTTTGACAGCTGTTATATTTTCTTCCTCCATGCAAAGGAGGAGGAATTCTGGCACGGATGGATTTTGCAGATATTTCAGATTAATTTATTAGTAATGAATTGAAGGGTTGGGCACATACCGACTACATTGGAATTCCGAAGAATTTGGTTTGGTTGTCCCTTGTCAAGATGATGAATATAATAAGTTATAGTGACAATGGTTTTTTGAGTTAAAGTGAGATCTGTGTGTAGTGGAGAAGTGGAGTGGAAAAGGGGTGTTCCCAAGAGTGAGGGAAAAGAAAGATGTACTGTACTTAATACAACTTCAGAGTTTAAAGATGCAGGTGTCTCCGGAGAATGGTGGGTTTACTATACACATCCATACTTCATTTACTCGCTCGAATACGCTTGCAGGCGTCGAATAAAGTCACAACAAAACCATCTATGGAGTCTACAAAATACACGGTACATACGAGCAGGTTCATGCTCCTTGACGACATTTACTGATAGATATACTCCATGTTTCTCAATGTTGAGAGAGAGGTGAAAGGGGATGGATGATGTCTGGAAAAGACACTCTACCCAGGGGCGTTAGGGCGAGGGTAAGGGGAGGGAAGGGTTAAAACTTGATAAAGCAGAGAAAACAGAAGCGAAAGTTAAGACTTAAAACTAATGTATAACTTCAAGAGAGGAGAATTGCTATTCTATGATTAACGAAAAGAGAAATAAATAGAGGGAGAAAAGACGGTGTAAAACCGGCAGCTATGCCACCCCATCAGTCGGGCTACCTTGTCAAACCACCGATTGCGCCCATCTTCTCCAACCCAAGACCGCTTTTGTCACCCCGATCCACGACCATTTTTTTAATTGACAAAAAATTCATATATTTGTTTTGGACCGCCGTTCCCAATGCTTATCCCTCAACGCACCGGTTGAAAAAGATTTCTCCCCCATCTCATATCGTTCCCAAGTCCGTGGTGACCTTGAAAGACAAAATGGCACACGTAAAACATTGCTATGAAAGAGTATAAGAACGACGATAAAAAAAAGAAGAAAAAAGGAAAATTAAACTCCAACACCGGTTATGGGAGAGATGAAGAAACACATAAAAAGGCTGGTATACAGGGAAATAAAAAAAAAGTTTTGATGGAAATGACGACAATCGAACATGAAACATGAATACACAAAGGGAAAAGAAAAGGTTGAAACCTCAGTCAGATAAAAGGGGGAAGAGATGGATTTATGGAAAAGAGCAGGCAAGGAGCAAAAGGAATCCCAGGAGTCTATAACTACTTTTTGTATTAATTAGAATAGGCTTTTTTAAGGATTCAAATTTGTGTTTCTCATGGCTTCTTCTCTCCCTCACCACCCTGCTGGCCCTCATTTGATTGCTGGGATTGCTGCTGCTGTCCTTCCTCAGAACGGGCCTTGTGCATCTTGTCGAACAGGGTAAGACTGGCATTCTGGAGCTCATCAACCTTAGCCTTCAACTCGTCAGCGGTAATGGAGCCCTCGCCAGACTGACTTTTGGCGACGACTTCACGGAGAGAGGCAATCTTCTCCTTGATCTGGTCAGCCTCTGTCTTGTCGAGTTTGTCCTCGAATTCCTTGAGGGCCTTCTCAGTGTCGTTCAGGACGCTGTCGGCGCGGTTAGCGGCTTCGATAGCGGCTTTTCGTTCCTTATCCTGGGCACCGAACTTCTCGGCATCGTCGACCATGTTCTGGATCTCGGTGTCAGAGAGACCGGAGCCGGAGGCGATGGTGATGGACTGGTCCTTGCCAGTGGACTTGTCCTTAGCGTGGACATGGACGATGGAATCAGCATCAATGTCGAAGGTGACCTCGATCTGAGGGACACCACGGTGGGCGGGTGGGATTCCGACAAGTTGGAAGTTTCCAAGGAGTTTGTTGTCACGGACGAGCTCACGCTCACCCTGGTAAACCTTGATCTCGACGGCAGTCTGGAAATCAGCGGCAGTGGAGAAGGTCTGGGACTTCTTGGTAGGGATAGTGGTGTTGCGGTTGATCAGACGAGTGAACACACCACCAAGTGTTTCAATACCGAGGGACAGAGGAGTAACGTCAAGGAGAAGAACGTCGGTGACCTCACCAGCGAGGACAGCTCCTTGAATGGCAGCACCAATGGCAACAGCCTCATCTGGGTTGACGGATTTGGCGGGATCGCGGCCGAAGATGCTCTTGACGGACTCTCCAACCTTGGGCATACGGGTCATACCACCAACAAGGATGACCTCCTGGATGTCCTTAGCCTGGAGATTGGCATCCTTCAAAGCCTTGCGCACGGGCTCGATAGTGCGGGAAATCAGAGGGTCAACGAGAGCCTCGAGCTGAGAACGAGTCATCTTGGAGTTGATATGCTTAGCACCGGAGGAATCAGCGGTGATGAAGGGAAGGTTAATTTCAGTTTGGAGAGCGGAGGAAAGTTCGATCTTAGCCTTCTCACAGGCCTCACGAATACGCTGGATAGCCATGCGATCGTTTGAGAGATCGATACCGGACTCTTTCTTGAATTGTTGCACAACGTTGCGGACAAGGGTGATATCGAAGTCCTCACCACCAAGATGAGTGTCACCATTGGTGGACTTGACTTCGAACACACCCTTCTGGATTTCAAGAATGGAGATGTCGAAAGTACCACCACCAAGATCGTAGACGGCAACGACGCGATCCTGCTCACGCTCGAGACCGTAGGCAAGAGCAGCAGCGGTAGGCTCATTGACAACACGGAGAACGTTGAGACCGGCGATTTGACCGGCATCTTTGGTAGCTTGACGTTGAGAATCATTGAAGTAGGCGGGAACTGTGACGACACCGTTCTTGACGGGTTTGCCAAGATAGGCTTCAGCAGTCTCCTTCATCTTCTGGAGGACAAAGCCTCCAATCTGGGATGGAGAATATTTTTGGCCCTGAGCCTCAACCCATGCGTCGCCGTTAGCGTGTTGAACGATCTTGTAAGGAACTTCCTTCAAGTCACGCTGGCACTCGGGATCGGTGAATTTGCGTCCGATCAAACGCTTAGTTGCAAAGAGGGTATTCTCAGGGTTAACAACAGCCTGTCGTTTAGCGGCAATACCGACAAGCCGCTCACCATCTTTGGTGAAAGCAACCACTGAGGGAGTTGTTCGTGCACCTGGAACAGCAAGTTAGTTTTGAAGTTCTTTGAAGTTCTCAACCTTAAGTTTCGTAGCCATGGAATCAACCGGGGATACGGAAGGGGGGGGGGGGGGGAAATAAAATCTGACCTTCGGCGTTTTCAATGATTCTTGGGGTCTTGCCCTCCATCACAGCAACAGCGGAGTTGGTGGTACCTGGTCAATCGTCTCAGTTAGCTCTAGAATATCAAATGACCAGCATTTACTGATAGAAATTATCTGAAGCTTTTAACGAGTTTGTACGTACCCAAATCGATACCGATAACTTGGCCCTTCACCTTCTCCTCTCCGCCTTCTGTTGAGTTCCATCTTCGGAATGGTGTAGCAGGGAGTTTGTAAGCGGAGGAACGAGAGGAAGAACGAGCAAAAGACGGAACCGCACGAGGAAGCTAACCGAATGGATTTCCAAGTCAATCTAACAATGGTCTTTCTGTGGAGCTTTAGGGGTAGAATTAGATGGTTATACACATACCGCACGGGAGAACCGGGAAGCAAGCATTATGAGATAGTCAAAGAATATATATATTAAAATACAGTGGGACAAGATAGACGGATCCTAGTAATACAGATGCAAGGAAGGGGAAGAGAAATCAGAAGAGCGGATATGAGGAGCAGATGCGGAAATCGACATACGGGGATGGAATAGGGATAGTATAGGGAGAGAAGATGTTCAAGAGGTTGGACGTCGAATGCGAAGAAAAAAATATTAAAATCGAGTGACGCTTTTCCTATTTGGGCGATTCGTCGAAAGCAGTGGAAGACGGAAGTCTCACGTGATCAATACAGAGTCAGGAATTATGTCAGCAGGGAAGAGATACAACTCTGTGATTGGCTGGAGGGGAAGTGATGGGGAATGTTGTGTTTGAGGATGCAGCATACAGGCGTAGGGGGACAGCGGAGGGGGACAGTGTACGGAGAAGGATCAAAAGATGAGATGCGGTGTTAGAAGAAGACACGGGCATTTGATTGTTATAAGTATGCAAAAATATTGCTAGTTCATAGAGGTACGTGTAACTTAGTAAGTCAATAGAGAGCGGAGACTCCGTAACTACAGCTATGGAGCTTATGGGCATGCGGTAACTACGATGGAGGTACCTTCCCCATGCTATTTGTGTGCGGCGGTACCTGGTCCCCACCACAGCCCCCATTCCCTTAACAACCCACTCACTGCTTTGGTTGAGTCTGCCGTCATCGACGAGCAGTTAAATTTGCCCTCCACCAAAACCCGTTTATACCCATCACCACCTCGAATGCCGCTGCAGCAAAAAACAACTCACACTGCTTCTTTTCTTGCTTCTGATCTCTGCCTTCTTTTAGTCAGATTACTTCTTACTCCACCATCTTCTGACCTCCTCTTAATACAATGCCCGGAGCGGCCTTGCTCACCTGGCCAGCATGACGCTCGACTCCGCATTGCTGTGAGTGCCGCTATCTACGCCCTCACTCTCCTCTCCCATCAACCCCCCGCCTCAATATGTAAATATGGCCTTTTACTGACTTCAGTAATGTTCACATAAATAAGTTGTCGACCTACTGATTGTCTTGTCCTCGCAAACAATCGAAAATTCTTCCCTATCAGGATCCCCAATACGTCAGTAGCAGCTTGCTTGGCCCCTGGCTAGCTATATGGATTGCGGGAAAGCTCCATCATCACTAACAGGCGCAACACAGCCACCATCAGCTCCGTCACTACATCAGCACTGCTGACCCAGATCGGATCTATCTCGCTGTCGAAAGGCAAATATATGTCATATACACCTCGTCTAGAAAACGTGAGAAAATTGCTGTCGTGCCCTTCGAGCCAAAGTGCTTGACGGCTGGTCTAGGATGGATTGGAATTGGAGGCTCAGAACATGGGGATTGCGCCTTCATCAGGATCGGGGACCCGTCCTCATCGACCCCGCATGCTATGCTTCCTCCTCGTGTGGGCGTAGATAGCCCTTTGCCAGTCGACCTAGATCCTGTGCGCCCGCGATTCCCACCATCAAGTTCTAGTGAGGCCCTGTCCTTTCCCTTCTCTTATGACATACTCTCCGCTGACGACCTTATTTTAAGATATAAAAATACATGAATTCGGTGGTAGTATAGTCAATTCGGTAACGCTTCATCGTCTGCCAGGCGAAGCTCCCATCTATGCGCATGAAGATGTTGCAGTTCTCAGGTACGCGGTTTTCCGTGCTTTCCCAGATGTCTTTTGACACCTTATTTTCCCAGCGTGGTTAACATGTGATGGATCCTCCAGTAATAATGACACAACCGTGAGCATTTATTCTCTCACTCGTTCGGAAATGATTCAAAGTATCCGTCATCCAATATGCATGAACTATGCCATTATCTCGCCAGACTCGAAACTTCTTGCTGCCGTTGGCGACGCCAATCGTATTTATTTCTATCGCGTTGAACCATCTCCGGAAAATAGAATCGCAGTTCGAAACAGCGAGAAAATGCTGATTGGATGGAACTGGCCGTTGATCCGCTCCGTCGAACTAGACTCAGATCCCCAGTACGATGACTGTTGTTGTTTTACCATCGCGTTTTCCCCTTCCAGCCATCTTTGCGCGGTTGGTTCGCAAGCAGGAATTATCACAGTCTTCGATGTAAAAAGCATTCTAAATACTGATCCGGAAGATGATAGTGGACGAGAAGATATTGTTTGTGTGTTTCAGTCGTCCCGGTCTTACTTTGAAGGAGGTGCGGTTCGTTCCATGTCATTCTCCCCAAGACCTTGGGATCTTCTCGTCTGGGTTGAAGATTATGGGCGAGCGGGAGTGGCAGATGTCCGCCAGGCATTTTCCCGCCGTCAGATTCTTTCTCTTGACTTGGATCAACCGGGATTGCAAATGGTGCCAACCCGAATAGGCAGAGATGAGCCTGAAGGAGGATCAGATTCAGATGATCCACATCGATATCTTGACCCGGAAGCTCCCAACCATCTCGTAAATATTATTGAAGACTCATCGTCATCTCAAAGGGATCAGCCAAGTGGGGATTTAGAACATGAGACACTGCGTGAAGATCTGCTACGGGATTTAGGTTATAGAGAGAGGCATATTGTCGAGTCAATGAATACATCTGAATGGGACGAGGGGTCAACGTCTCGGATTTCACGGCGTCTGAGCCCTGAGCTGCTTATAGAAACCCGCATGGGTAATCGCTCTCCTCGCGGGGGCTCTCCGGGTTTAGATGACGCCGTTTTTCGCTCTGATTACGCTGCAGAACGCCAACTGGAGAGACTGCGAGCGGCAACTCAACAGCCACCACGTCGTGTCACAGGTGCGCAATCTCAAGGTGACCGATTGACACCTACTTTACTCGCAGCCCACGGAATCAACGCCCCATCCGTAACATTAAGATGGACCCAGTCACCATCCCAAATACAGATATCAGACAACCCTTCTGATGCCGATGGATCGAACACAACAGGTCGTAACGGCACAGCCCAATCCACGGACAGCGACCAGCCAAACGGAAGCGGCCTTGCAAGCAGCAGCCGCCAAACCCTGCGTGCCCGTGTCCTGTTCGACCACTCCCCGCAAACTCCACCTCTAGCCATCCAGACCCAACAGATTCGTCTGCACCGCACAAGATCCATCCCCAGAAGAGCGGACCCGCCCGATGCATCCGCTGCAGAACAGCAAGAGTCGCAAACGGGAATAAGCCACGAGGAGCGCAGCCGGTTACGGCGGCAGGCGGCTATTGAGGAGAGTCGGAGGACCGGGACGACTTTTGGCCAGTATCGACGGCGCATGGAGCTTGACCAGCTTCGCGCACCGCGCTGGATTCGCACGACTATGGGTGATGATGTGACCTTTGCGTCGACTAGTCGCGAGCGGGAACGTGGGGTTGGGACTGCTGGGATTGGATGGGGAGAGGACGGGCGGATGTTGTAAGTTATATACTCAACCGTGATGTTTCATTGCGCCATGTCCTTTACAATTGTATCGTCGGATTTGATTACGCGAAACTAACAAAAATATTTACAATTTCTATAGGTATATCGGAACCGTACAAGGTATTTTCCAATTCGAACTCAACGTCCAAGATCGCAAGACGTTCCCTGGGTTTTCGTGTAGGTAATTTGCACGAAGTAATTGATGGATTCAAAGGTCCAAACAAGAGCATAACATGCATTCTTCGAGCAACACTTCATTTCATTTATGCTGCCATCCTCGGATACCCCTCTTTCTGCTTCTACGTTCCTTTTCCTCCCCATCCTCGCTAGGCACTATCGCCATCCCCAAGACGCAAATCCGAAATATAAGTGCAGATGTAGACACGAACGCATACGAAAATGGTGACCACGCGAGTTCACCGACCAACTAACCGCCAACCAACAAGCCCTTCTCTCATGTTTCCTACGAATGCGAACCACGATATATGTCCATGCCCAGTCGAAACTGGCATCATGCATGCATGCTTGCATATTTTCCTCCTTTACTGTAGTTTGGTCTTTTGTTATCCCTTTGGGGTGGGCGACTAGGCCGCGGCATAGGATGTATAATCGGATTGGCCGATGGCACTTGGTTGTCATTGTCATTGTCATTATGGTTATCCTTCATTTCTTTCCTTTCTGTGAATTGGTCATTTTACCTCCTACAGCGGTAGGTGGGCAGGCGTGGATGTGGGAAGCGACTTGATTTTACTGTTTGCTGACTGTTGTGACTCATATGCGATTTCGGCTTTTGGTTGTGGTCTCTTTCCCTTTTCCTTTCCCTCTTTCTTACCTTTCCTTTGTGTTCTTATTATTGTCTATTGGGTTGAGTCAGGTATTTTGCTGCTGCTAAGGTTCTTTAGAGTGTTTACGGCAGCTTCACAGAAAAATGCCAAAAAAGAAGAACGAAGAGCAACGTTTTTAATATTTCTTATGTCCGTATATTTTTCTTTCCGTGTTAGGGCTTTCCCGCAAAATCCTCTTCCTGAGAAAATATTTGCGTTTATCCGCCAGTATGAAGTTAAGAGTATTCCATCTACCCCTGCTCTTCTTGTCCAAAAGGAGTTCGTTTTGTTGCGCCTGACAGTTATCTTCGGACTTCTCGATATAAAAATAGCCAAAAAGGGGGTGAGTTAAGCGTGCTGTTGAAGTTTGCTGACACCCGATGCAGAAGCGGGTAGTGGATGATCAATTCAGAATGACTTGTCCAATTAAACATTGCATTGTATATTCAAACCAACGATACCAGGTAACCATCACGATTACTTTTAGCCACGTAAATCTGTACAGTGCATCAACTCACAAAAACAAATATCCACCCTGTTATTACAAGTGTATCAATTCAATTTCAATTACAATGCAAACTCAAGTAGTGTGTAAAATAAGTAATTGTGCTTGTGTCATAAAAACACATTCACAAACTAAACCGAAACCTTGGATCATCATCGCCCATATTTTCTAACTCCTCCGATCCAAGTCTTGCATCTCTTTCCCCCCTCTCTCTAATCCGATTCTCCCTAACTAACCCCAGCGCAAATACCGTACTCATGATCCCACAGAAGATCACCATAGACAACGCAACACCATAGCCTACAAAATACCTCGGGGCCTGCTTGCGCACAAACACATTACTCGCAATGATACCACCAAGATTCCCAAAGCCAACTTGGATAGCCAGACCAACAGCACGCTTGTAATGCCCACCCAGGTTATTTACCAGCCACACAATCGTCACTGGCTGCACGATATAGCAACCCGTCGTGACGAAGAAAACGGCCATGTAACGGACACCAAGTGGCAAGCCACCCTTCAAGGGGCCCTGGCATATCAGGATGATGTAGCCGATGCTCGCGAACATGACGCCAAACATGATGAAGCCGTACCGGTACCTGAGGCGGTCGGTGAAATACGAGACAATCACGGTGGTGGCAGCGGAGGTGGCCCAGACCGGGATGCTCTGTATCTGACTTTGCAGGCCGCTGTAACCGAGAGAGTTGACTATAGACGGGATGAAGAGCGCAGTTGCATAGCCCGACACGGTGATTCCAACGTATATCAAGCTCGCGACCAGGGTCTTCCAATCAGTCAGGATCCGCTTCCAGGCCGTGGAATCCAGTCGATCCATTCTTGCGAAGCCGCCCACGTCTTCCGAGTGGCGTTTGTGAAGGAGTGCTTTCTCCTCCTCTGTGAGGAATATGGCTTTATCGGGCCAGTCGGTTAAGAACAATTTGGCGGGGACGGCGAGAATAACGGATATGAGACCCTCGATTATGAATATCCACCGCCAGCCTGAGTAGCCACCCCGACCTTGCATGTGGTTCAGAGAGTAGGCAAGAAGGCCACCAAAGGCACCCGCCACCAACCCGGCAACCCAGAATATGGAAAAACGCTTTTGGAACTCGTGGCGTTTGTAGAACATGGCCATGAGATAGGCGCAGCCAGGGACGTAGCCGGCTTCAAAGACACCAATGAAGAATCGACAAGCGATCAAACCCGCGTCGTTCTTGACGAAGCCTTGACACATAGCCGCGATGCCTGAATATGAAGAGGTACAAATTTAGCGTTTTCACTGAAAACCTGGGGTAACTAATTATTATCCTCTGGTTCTAGAAACGTAGTTCCACGTACCCCAAAAGAATGTAAGCAGACTGATCCATGTCGAAGGAGCGAAATTTTTCAAGACAATGTTACTTGGAATATCTAAAATAATGTAAGGGACAAAGAAGATCTGCAGAGCAATGTTGAAATCATTGCCCTTGAGCTTCAGTTCCTCTACGATCCCGAGGACTGCCACATTCCCTAAATTGATCCTGTCAAGAAACCCGAAGAGGAATATGACCCATAGCGGGAGCAGAAGATGGATGTCAATTTTTCGTAACAGTCTACTCTCTTTCTTCGGATCAATGGCCTCATTGTCAGAGATCTCTGCCGCTTGGTTTTGCACTCGAGAACCTTCGCCAGGGGATTTTTCGGCTGGAAATGAGTCTGAGATCATTACTGGCTCCAAAACCAAAAATGCGGGAGATATGTAGAAAGAATGGAGATTACCCCTTTCCCATGGGTACCTAAGTAGGAACAGGAGTTTGAATGGGTTTTGTTGTTTTTGACGGAACAAAAGAATGTTTGAAACTATCTCAACTATGAAATCTAGAAGAATCTCGACAATATAGCCAGGGAAGAGAAAGACGGACAGAATAAAAATAAAAATAAAAAATAAGGATAGCAATGGTCAGAAGAGAAACCGCGTTAAGAATACCAGCTGAAACTTTCTACACAGCAGCGTTCCTCCTGGAGACCTGTGCCCGATACCATAGGTGTCCCCGGGAACCTCAAGGGTATCTGTATATGAGTGAGCAGCACTGTATGCATTCTCCAATTAAGGTGGGGGGGCGTCTTGCATCTAGAACATGGCATTGACGTTTCCAAGCAGCTTATCAACACAAAAAAGGCTCTCATATCCGTTGTTGAAACGGAAAGTACTCCGACACAGAGAGTGCTGGTAGAACGTTCTTAGTAGTTACCAGGTGGCTCGACGAACGGCGTCGGTATACCATAATCTTGAGACGGAGCGCGCTAAAATCAAGGACGGGAATGCCCACGAAACTTCCCCGGACACCCATCACCAACCCATGCTTAATCCTTATGGTACCTGTTTGGACTAACTAGTTATCCTTTGCTCGTCAGGCCTTGGGATGCCGGAACCTCGGGGGGGCAGAGATGAGATACATGGGCGTGTTTCTATGGATTGAATGAGGTTTTTCGCCAAGAGCGGCGGCAACTAGAATCTCTCTTCGCATTCGCATTGCGCTGCAACTTTGTTAGGAAGAAGAGTTAGGGTAAACGAGACGGACTCGATGGCAGAGCTGAGATCTCTCATATCAAGATCCAAATGAAGTCAAAGTCTACCTATTTGGGAATAGTTCGACTGATGGATATTTTGAAGTTTAGAGTGGAATCACGTGGAATGCTTTAACTAGCTAAGTTAACTGCCAATTTGCCAGAGTACGGCGTTAGATCTCTTCTGGGACTAAGGGAGGGAAATATCATCCATGATCAAATCTTTTATTAAATACAAGGAATTAGATCTATCTCTAGACGCAGTTGATACTATCATTCTTCTCTGTTCTGGCATTGCAACCATACGATCACAAAAACTTATTCAGCAAAACTTAGTTCTGCGGTGTGTTTTTGCAGGGAGGAAGCGCAAATGTAACATGACCATGGTCTCCCTGTACCGCTGCCCGGTCGGACGTGCATGATCGGCACGTAGGAAAGCATGTCTTCCTCAAGGTTGGTTACAAGGATCGCTAGCCGCTCCCGCCTGCCTGTGCTGTTTAAGACGAAGTTCAACAACTTTCCGGGCCAATATCTTCTGTCAGAGTTAACGGGACCAAACTGCACTCATCTCCTCAAGTTTGGCCGTTGCATATGCCATCGTTATTATTCCATCTATGACTTTAAATCATGCATTCCCTCCTAGTGTACGGAGTGCAAGCCACAACGGAGCAATCCCGTATCTTGAGTTTTCGAAATTTGGCTATGGTTGCTTACAACTTGTTCTGTATTGATCAGTCTTAGAAATGAAATATCCATGGACGAATTCCAAGGTTTCGTTCCCTTGTTAATACCCTATGATTAAATCTTGGAAGGGGACTGCACAATGCTATCGGCGTATCCGAAATGTCTTATATTTGCAGAAGCCTTCATCTTCTATTCACCACATTCAGCTTCTTCTTGTGGAAGTTCGGCGTACCCTTCTCCCATCTTGGCAATTGTCACCCCGCTATTTGCCGTAGCCAGATTCTCTGGACGTTTCATGACCGCCCGGTAGCCGCACCACCTCACGTGATGTACGCGTCTATCAGTTAGCTGGCCAGTCCTCCCACCTATGGAAGACCAACCATCCCACAGTTTGTGCTTTACCGGTCATGTGGGATCAGATGACTGGGTCATTTTGGCCGCCCTCGAACGTCTTCGAGATGGTATAGATACTTGCGGAGGTGGTTTTTATTCAAATGCTGATTGGCAGTTGATTCCCTCACCCTTGGTACTTTTCTGCTCACTGTCTTGAGTAGTCTGTGGTTTGGCGTTTGGAAAGCATACCGACGAAGTTCCACCGGCCGTGATGTTGAAGATTCTGAAAATGAGAGGAAATGCAAAAGATTTCTTTCGTCAATTTCTTTTTGGTAGTGCAAAGTATCCCATTACCAGGGTGATGCCTTAGATTTATTTTATTGCTCAGATCTTATATGAGATCATCATCAGCCTCATAAAAATCAGCATCCTTCTCCTCTACCGGAAGATATTTATCCGGCGGATGGTTTTTGATTTCATGTTGGGTCTTAATCGGATTTGCCATTGCGGCGTTCATGGCTAGATCTGTTGTCACGAGCATCTTCCAGTGCGCTCCTGTCGAATTTGCTTTCAAGAAGAAACGCTCGGGAGGTGGGCCCTGTATCAACTTATGGCATTCTGGTACTCAAATGCGGCTTTCAACATCCTGACGGATCTTATCCCCCATCGCTCTACCTGTCCATGTCCCGGTCCTCCGTTATTACCACGCTTGATATTGCAACTTCGTACCGTGATACTCCTTGGAACAGCATAGGTTTCTTCCACGTGGACGGTGATGGAATATAACTGGCCATTATGTGCGCGTGCCTACCAACTCTAGCTCGACCTATTGCCTTTGTTTTTCCAACAGTTCTTGGTAAGCTTCACATCGGCGATTTTGGGAATCGTGCAAGTAAAAGCGGAGCTAGAAAGACTGCCACCCGATCAGCAAATACAGCAGTGGTTATATCAACTAACTGGAGCAAGATTGGAGATCTAAGCTCGCGCTCAATGGAATGGCAAAGTTTCGGATAACCCCAATGGGAGTCAAGAGGGCATCGTACAGACCACTTGAGTTTTCTCCGCCGAATACACAAGGAGAAGCAAGGCCAAAAACCGACCGACTGATCGAGCTTTTGAGCTGGGCTGTCTCAACGCATCAACTCAATAGGGGCGTGGGAGCAAGGTGAGCATTTGAGGAGGAGGAACGAGCTACCCGCACGCTCGCTGGGACCTTCCCCTAACAAAACCGGATCACTTCTGGTTTACAAATGAATGGAAAAAAAGAAACTTCGACCTGAATCTGACCCACATTGCCCTCATTACCGAATTTTGTACAGGTGCTTACCCAAATGGAAAAGAGAGAAGAAAATGCTTTAATTACTCACTTCCTGTGTTACACTTTTTGCCGCGCTTCCTCAACGTCTGTCTGTAGTCTATACTTCCAGCCTCCACTGCTGAACCCGATTCTGTTCTGCGTGTTTATGAACCCCGGGTCACCTGTCACTATTCATATCTTCCTCCATTCCTGACGGGGTTGGCTGCCGCTCGCTTCCCACATGTACATGATTTGAACGATGTCCCAACCCCTTGCCCAAGATGCAGATCCAAACAGAAACCCCCGTGGTGAGCAGCCTCGTGCTTCAAAGAAGAAGCAGAAGCGGGCGGTACTCTCAATGCCGTCCATTAATATCTCCATGGGCAACTTTACATTGACGCTCAGAAAAATCAACCTGTCCCGAATTTTCTCGATATTCTCTGGGAATAAGAGGAGTGGCGGTGACGGTGACGGTGGTGGTGGTGATAGTGATGGCGATGACGATCCACAGGAACTGACTTTCAAGGAAGGCTTCAGGCTCTACAAATCTGAGTACCATGATATATGGGCAGGCATATTGGTTAGCTCATCGCATATTCCTTCTCTTCCTATTTCTCTTTCCGTTCTGTAAGTCAATGCTAACTTCGAAACTCCTTTTTTTTTTTTTTTTTTTTTTTTTTTTTTTTTTTGGCTTAGTTTCTACTCACTTTTTTCGGGTTTATTTCTCTATCGTCTACGGTAATCGACAGATTCGAGAAGGGCATGGACTTCAAGGGTCACACAATCAACGATCCTGCAAATTCCATTGCGCTGGATATGAATACCTTCATACTTTTCTCGGTTATCTTATCCACTGCCTTTTCAGCTTCAATGGCATACTATCAAATTTTCTTATTTTTCACTAATCAGTTGGTTTGGTTCACCGGAATATTTAATGTCGGTTTTGGTTTGGGCATTGGAGCTGTCTACATGTATAGGAGGCAATGGGGCAGCGGGATTACCCATGTATCTTTTGGCGGACTTGCTCTTGTTTACTTCGTGAGCTGGATACCGCGGTTCCCTTTCACCACACTCTTGCTCCGAACAGCAGCCACGGTGACGAGGCGCCATATCGCGGTCCATCTAGTAAGCTTTATCGGAGGAATCCTCGCTACCTCCTTTGCTGCATGGCTTTTTGTGACGCTCGTTGCGGTCTACATTGCCTTCCAACCCAACGAAATGAGATCAAACCTTCTATGTAGGGACCAAGAATGCAAAGCTGTGATTACCATAGCTCTTACGTCGTTTATCACGTTTGCATCCTATTGGATCACTGAGTGGATGAAGAACACTATGCATACCGCTGTTGCCGGAGTGTACGGGTCTTGGTATTTCTACGGGGGCAATTCTAATCCAATGCCGAGGGCACCATTGAGAGGCGCTCTAGGACGAGCATTGACTCGCTCCTTTGGAAGCATCTGCCTCGGAAGCCTGTTCGTAGCGCCGGTTGATATGTTGCGCCAGGCGTGCACCATCATCCCCAGACAGGAAGAGACTGTCGATCAAAATACCATTGAGGAGGTTGCGAACCGCGTTTTGGGGGTAGCCATGAAATTTCTTGGCCGAACAACCCAAAGTTTTAACCGATATGCGTTTTCCCATGTGGCACTTTACGGGAAACCATACTCACCGGCTGCCAAATTTACATGGCAAATGATGGAACATCGCGGAATCGATGCCCTCGTTAACGATAGTGTTGTTGGAGCTACTATCAGTATGGGTTCTCTGTTTGTTGGTTACCTGTGCGCCTTTCTTGCGTACATTGAATTGGGCTACACTGTGCCAGATTTCAACAGGGGAGAGAAGTTCACGTCTGCTGTCATGGCATATGCGTTCCTCTCTGGGTTTCAGATCTGCAAAATTTATATGGCGCCAGTAACCAGTGGGGTGGATACAACGTTTATGGCAATTGGGTTGGATCCAGAGATTTTAGTCACGCAGCATCCGGATCTATGGGAATCCCTGGTGGCTGTTTATCCCAGGGTGCAGGAGTCTATTCATGCTTAGCTTCCGTGCTTTGCCTTGGTTTTTGCTAAAGCGCAGGCCCGCAAGTGACGCTGGGTGTTTGAGACTTTGGTTTGGATCGCAGAATTGTCTCGGGGAAGTAGGAGTATTCCTTCGTTTTTTCATATCATTATCAAGGTTCATTCGATTCCCTGTCAGTCAATTTGTAACTCTCTCTCTCTCTCTCTAAACAAGGGATGTAGATACTGACCCTTTGGAGAATATGAAATGATTGACTCTTAATGGGCTTCTTTATGCCACAAAAAGTGATGGATTTTGTTTTTGAGGGAGTGGTATGCTAGTTCAATCCGTATAAGTTGTGTGAGGAGAATGGACTCAGCGTAGTATGTTGAAATTGGTTTTTCGATTGAACTCACCCCCAATATCTACATTTCCAGCAACTCTTTTGAAAATGACGTCGCTTGCCTGTATTATTTTCCCATCTTGACACATGGTACATAAATTTAGCCCCTATTCAAAACCATGCGGGGCTGTTTGTGGCGCCCTATGCAAGTGGTAACGCGCGTCTAAAATAAGGTTTTGACAGCACCGCTTAGTCATTCCCAGAGCACCAAATCACCTAATGGTGCCACTTCACAATATAAGGGAAAAGGGTTTGCAACAAAAATTGTAAGCAATGAAGATGAATAGTCATTCCTCATAGTTTACTAACGTTGCTGGCGTCTGCTGATGCAAAGAGAAGTCATCAGAAGATCAGTTTTATATCCCGTATTGAGACAATGATTTAAGCTGAGACGGCTTTCCTTTTCTTTGTTTTTTTTTGGCCTGGGAATGATATCTAGAGCTCTCTAGATCAGAACTTCACCTTATTCACGGTGTCCCTCCCTTACTCTTGGGGTAGGAACTTTGACAGACATGTCTGAGGATCCAGACCTGCTGGATGCCGTCCGGAAAGTTTACGAAGCAACAAACAAGCTGGACGATGGTGATGGTCTGGACAGTTGGATAACTGGCGCAGATTATGAACGCTCACCGGACGGAGCAAATCAATTCGGGAAAGGGCCTCGACCACAGCGTCGAAACTGCGAAGTGCAATCTGACGGGAAGTTGAAAGCAGAGCTGGAAAGGGAGTTTCTGCACCCTTCACCGCGACTTAGTTCTCTGTGGCTAAGTAAGCTGCAACAGTATGTTCCCATATTTGCAAATACACCTTATCCGGTTATGTGCCAAAAATCAAAAATTGATTGCGTTTAATCTAGGCGATGGGAAATTCCTGTGGACTACCATGATCTGTTTGAGCTGGCACCTCCGCAAACCCGCACCATTATCCGGTTTACCCGGGAAGGTCTGGAAGGTAGGGTTACTGGTTATCGTGAGGTTACTGTTCCTTCAAGCAGTGCTACTGCAAAAAACTCAACCTCATTGCTTAGACGGCCAGCAGGCCGTGCTGATTTCGTTCGCGGTGCTGCTGGATTTTTCCCGTTTGCACCTGGTGGGCTAGAGGGCGTGGAAGCCATTGCTGAACTTGAGTCGGAGGTTCAAGCTGATGAGCGGCGGGCTGCTACAGGAGGGAAGTCCTCGGGGTTGGATAGAATTATTAACTTTGGTGTGGAAGGTGGTTTGTTGGAAGTGCCTCCGGGGTTTTCCAGGGGATTGAAATTTGGGAAGGCGAAGAGCAAAGATGAGGAGTGGGATGTTCAGGAGGTGGAGGATACTCTGGAGCAGAACGAGAAGGGTATTGATGAGATAACTGGAGAGGGTTCTCCCACTGACACAGATAAGAACTTTGAAATGAGTGTACAACTTGAAGAGGACTTGTCTAGTGATGAGAAGGACGAAGACATCGATTCTTTACTACCTGTTGAATATCCAGCTTTGGAGCCAAGAGGTCAACTTCTGGCGCCCTCTTCGAAGAGAGGAGGCAAAGAGTGGGCTCATGTGGTGGATGTTAACAAAGAGATTACAAATTTTTACGATTTGGTACCCGATATGGCACGAGAATGGCCATTCGAGCTGGATACCTTTCAAAAAGAAGCAGTCTATCATTTGGAGAACGGAGATTCTGTTTTTGTTGCCGCTCACACATCTGCTGGGAAAACTGTGGTGGCAGAATATGCGATTGCGCTCGCTTCCAAACACATGACTAAGGCTATCTACACATCCCCGATAAAGGCCTTAAGTAACCAAAAGTTCCGTGACTTTAGAAATACATTTGAGGATGTCGGAATTCTGACGGGGGATGTACAAATTCACCCCGAGGCAAGCTGCTTGATTATGACCACAGAAATCCTCAGAAGTATGCTTTATCGCGGAGCTGATCTTATTCGCGATGTGGAATTCGTCATTTTTGACGAAGTTCATTATGTGAATGATCTGGAAAGAGGTGTGGTTTGGGAGGAGGTTATAATTATGCTTCCAGAGCACGTTACGCTTATTCTACTCTCCGCCACGGTTCCAAACACATACGAATTTGCGTCTTGGGTTGGACGTACTAAAAAGAAGGATATCTACGTTATTTCAACCCCCAAGCGCCCAGTCCCATTGGAGCATTACCTATGGGCTGATAAAAGCATGCTGAAAATCGTCGATTCGAGTAAGAATTTTATTGAGAAAGGATGGAAAAAAGCAGATGACATTTTATCTGGGCGCGACAAAGCTCGTGCTCAGAAAGCTGCAGAATCCCAGCCCAATCACAATAGAGGTGGCTATGGAGATAGAGGTCGTGGTGGTGGGCAGCCACAACGTGGAAACCAACGAGGAGGGACCCAACGTGGTGGCGCTCAACAACAAAGAGGGGGTGCACAACAAAGAGGCAGAGGCCAACCTGCATCTCGTGGAACCGGCAATATCGCTAGAACAGGCCGAGGCGGTGGACGAACCACGGTAGCACAGGACCGAAATATCTGGGTTCATCTTGTGCAACATCTGCGAAAGGAAAATCTGCTACCAGCATGTGTTTTTGTATTTTCCAAGAAAAGATGTGAGGAAAATGCGGATTCTTTGTCAAACCAGGATTTTTGCACGGCGGCGGAAAAGAGCTCTATTCATATGATTATTGAAAAGTCGCTGGCCCGACTAAAGCCAGAGGATAGAATCCTACCGCAAATTCGCCGTGTCAGAGAGCTGCTGAGCAGAGGCGTTGGTGTCCACCATGGCGGTCTTTTGCCAATTATAAAGGAAATCGTGGAGATATTATTCGCCAAAACCTTAGTGAAAGTACTCTTTGCGACAGAAACTTTTGCCATGGGTTTGAACCTCCCTACAAGGACCGTTGTATTTTCTGGTTTTCGAAAACATGACGGTCGATCATTCAGAGACCTGCTTCCAGGTGAATATACCCAAATGGCAGGGCGAGCGGGACGGCGTGGCCTTGATACTGTCGGGTCTGTGATTATTGTTTCGTCTGGCAAGGATGAAGCGCCACCTGCAGGTACCCTACGTCGCATGATTCTGGGCGATCCGACAAAGCTACGATCTCAATTTCGCCTTACCTATAACATGATTTTGAATCTGCTGCGGGTAGAAGCCTTGAAAATTGAAGAAATGATCAAAAGAAGCTTCAGTGAGAATGCAACGCAGGCACTCCTCCCGGAACACCAGAAGCAAGTACAAGTGTCTGAAGCTACACTGGAGAAAATAAAACGAGAGCCATGCGCCATTTGTGATATTGACATGGAAGCTTGCCATGAAGCTGCCGTGGAGTTCTCGCGGTTAACTACTCAACTTCATGTCAATCTCCTTTCATCCCCGGTGGGGCGGCGATTGTTCTCAGCCAAGAGAGTGGTTGTGTTTAAAAGGGTGAGGGTGACATATTGAGACTCAATTTTGAAAACCTTCCACTAACATTTCCTTTTCTTTCATAGAATGGCATCAGAACGGTTGGTTTGCTCGTGCGAGAAGGCGTGGCTCCTGGGCCAAATATTGGTCTGCAGGTGTTCGAATTTGGTCCAATGAAATCCAGCCGACATCCGAGTGATATTCTTCCATACCTTCCAGAGTTTCGACATTTGTTTTCTCCACTCTCAACGGAGCCTTTTGAGATGGTGCTGAAAACGTACAAAATCTCACTTGAGGATCTTGAATGTGTAACCTCGACAGTGTTAAAAATAGGGGGTCCGACTTGGTATTTAAATATCAAGAAAGGTAAGCATATCCAATCAGGGATGTTTGAATCCCTTCTATGTATTTGTGGCTGACGTCTTGCAGAGGCATTGAAAGTTGCACAAAAGGACCTCGTCCAGATTTGTTGCTCGTGGAAAACTGGTTCTTGGAATGAATTGGAGTGGGATCGAGTGAAGGAACTTCAAGTGGTCGAGATCTTAAACAAGCGAAAGGAACAGGTGGCCATCATTGAAGCCTGCGAATGCCTGCGATGCCCGCAATTTTTGAAACATGTGAGTTTGGACACACATCTCGTGATTTTTTGAAGATTCATTTAATTGGATAATACTGATACTTGGACAGTTCGAAATGCAACATGACGAATGGCAGGTGAAAGAGAACATATCGCAGTTAAAACAATTAATGTCGAACCAGAACTTGCAACTTCTACCAGACTACGAACAGCGTCTTTTGGTCCTCAAGGATCTTGGTTTCGTTGATGAGGCATGTCGAGTCCAATTGAAAGGAAAGGTAGCCTGCGAGGTAGGTGGTCCCGTAATTCATCCAGCTAATTCGTTTTTGTCAGGCCATGACTAATAAAGCTCTGGCTGTAGATTCATTCAGCCGACGAACTGGTCCTGACGGAATTGATTCTGGAAAATCTGCTTGCAGAATACGAGCCAGAGGAGATCGTTGCTCTGCTGTCAGCCTTCGTCTTCCAAGAGAAGACCGAAAGCGTACCTTTGCTGACACCACGGCTTGAAAAGGGCAAAGAGGCCATCATCAAGATATCGGAGAAGGTAAATGACTTCCAAATCAAGCACCAGGTCATTTTATCGAGTGGGGACTCCAACGACTTTGCAAGCAAGCCACGGTTCAGCCTAGTCGAGGTCGTCTATGAATGGGCACGTGGAATGCCATTCAACCGGATCACCGACCTGACCGATGTGATGGAAGGCACAATTGTCCGTGTAATCACTCGGCTGGACGAAACATGCCGGGAGGTGAAGAGTGCTGCGAAGCTGGTTGGCGACCCGACCCTGTATAGCAAGATGCAGCGGGCCCAGGAGATGATCAAACGCGACGTGATATTTGCGGCATCACTTTACATGTGAAGGGAATTTCTAATGAGATACACATTGGCTGCTTGATCCGTCGAGGTTTTAGCTCTGCATTGTTGGTGTTTTGGCAGCGATCTCAATGGCCAGGGTCATATTTGAACCTTGATCTGGTACTTAATAACTACGTGTGGATGTTTTGTGTGCAAGGGTACACACAAAAAATAGATCTGTCAAACCCTTGAGAATTTTGAAAATCTAGAGAGTCAACTCCGTCCTTGATAGTGGTAAAATTATAATAATAATAATAAAATAATTGAGTTAAATAACCGGAATCTTGCATTCAAGATACATACAATTTGTAGGCATATTTTATTAATCATGTTTGGAATTGATTGGAATTTCCCAGAATTAGCTAAAGCAAAACGATGTTTGCTGATGTTCCTGTTACTAAGGAGCAGGCCCAACAATCAAATAAAAGAAAATTAATAAAAAATAAATTACAAAAAGCACCAACCTCAATTTTAAACTGCGGTCCCCGCCGGTCTGTGTCCTCTCTTAAACTTTTTCTACCCAACAACCCCCTTCAAACAAACCTACCACCATTTCATCTTCACACCTCAATCAGCCACTCTCCGCTGCATATCCTACACCAGGGCCACGGCCAGCTTTTATACGATCTGGATTTCTAGCTCTGTCTTCAGGCCCGGCGCTGGAGGTTGTTATAAGCGCGAGATGGATGTAGCAGCTCTCCGAGAACGTATCCAGGCCACCCTCGACACCAACGCGGAGGCTCGACAACAGGCCGAGGCGGACCTGAAATATGTGCGTCACTTGGTTCTCTCTCTATATATAGATGTATAGATAGGTATCGCTGGGAGTATGCTGACTCGTTCCGCACCATTAGGCCGAAGAGCAGCCTGGATTTATAAATGCGCTGGTCGATATTTTGCAGGCCGAACAGGACAATGGAGTTCGACTATCGAGTAAGGGATCAACCCCACCATATTATTTTATATTCACATCTATTTTACATATGCTATGCATGCACACATTCACAAACACACATCTTACCCTACCATATTTCATCAATTGTGAAGTTATTTCAGTATTCTGATCACTGACTTGGAGCTTGTTTTCCCTCTCTCAGCTGTTGTCTACCTGAAGAATAGAGTCTCCAGAGGATGGGCCCCTGCTGAAGAACAACCAATCCACAAACCTATCCCAGACGAGGATCGAACTCCGTTCAGAGCGCGTATCATACCTCTCCTTGCATCTTCCCCCCCTGCTGTTCGATCTCAACTGGCTCCCACTCTTTCCAAGGTCCTCCAGTATGATTTCCCTACGAAATGGCCCGATTACATGGACGTGACCCTCCAGCTACTCAATACGAACGATGCAAACTCCATCTTTGCAGGTTTGCAGTGCCTGCTGGCAATATGTCGCGTATACAGATTCAAGTCTAGTGATAAGAGGGGGGATTTCGAAAAGGTGGTGGAAGTTTCATTCCCTCGTCTTCTGGATATTGGGACTCGTCTTATCAATGAGGAAAGTATTGAAGCTGGAGAGATGCTGCGGACTGTTGTCAAGGCATATAAGAATGCTATCTATGTGGGTTAAGGGACTTTTATTCCAGATATTGTTGGGCTAATCTTGGGTTATTCTGGCTGACGTGGAATCCCTTTTCTTTTCGGTAAATCTAGTTTGAACTGCCAAATTTCTTGATGACCCATCAAGCAACGGTGGCCTGGTGCTCTTTGTTCTTGAGAGTCATTGGGAAAATCCCTCCAGCGAGTTCTATGCTCGAAAACACTGACGAACGGGAGCTTAACCACTGGTGGAAGGCCAAGAAATGTTCATATGCCAATTTGAACCGCCTGTTTGTTCGGTATGTTCATGGTAGGTTATTTTCGGGGGTAACAGACAAATCTAATCCGATGATTCGTTGGCAGATACGGCAACCCCAGTCTTCTCGGAAAAACTAATTCAACAAAATACACACAATACGCGAAATCCTTTATCACCACTTTTGCTCCTGAAATTCTCAAAGGTTATCTGGGGGAAATCGACAAATGGGTGAATGGCCAATGGTTAAGCAAGCCTTCGCTTTCCTACACTTTGGTATTCTTGCAAGACTGTGTCAAACCCAAGGCGACGTGGGACCATTTGAAACCTCATTTGGATAATCTTGTTCAGCACCTGATTTTCCCAGTCTTGTGCCAGTCCGACGAAGATATTGAGCTGTTTGAGACCGATCCGTCGGAATACCTGCATCGAAAACTGAATATTTATGAGGAGGTTTCTGCGCCAGACGTTGCAGCCACCAACTTCCTTGTCGCACTTACACAGAGCCGGAAGAAACAGACGTTTTCCATCCTAAGTTTCGTCAATGGTGTTGTCAGCAAGTACGAGACTTCCCCGGATGACCAGAAGCTTCCTCGGGAAAAGGAGGGCGCTCTTCGCATGATTGGAACCCTGGCTTCCGTTATTCTGGGCAAAAAGAGCCCCATCGCGGACCAGGTAGAGTACTTTTTCGTGCGCCACGTCTTCCCCGAGTTCAAGAGTCCTCACGGTTATCTCCGTGCCAGGGCTTGCGACACCTTGGAAAAGTTTAGTGAGTTGGACTTTAACGACCCCAACAACCTCATGGTGGTTTACAGGAACATTTTGGAAGCATTGGCCGACCCTGAACTTCCTGTGAGAGTGGAAGCTGCATTGGCTCTCCAACCCCTCATCCGCCATGATGCTATCCGGACCTCCATGCAGACTAATATTCCACAGATCATGCAACAACTTCTCAAGCTTTCAAATGAAGTTGACCTGGATCAGTTATCAGGTGTCATGGAGGATTTTGTTGAGGTTTTCTCCACAGAACTGACTCCTTTCGCCGTCGCTTTGTGCGAGCAGTTGAGGGACACGTATATGCGAATTATTGGAGATATGCTCGATGAGCGAAAAAATGCTTCCAAGCCCGATGAAGATATTTACGGCGATTTCCTAGATGACAAGAGTATTACCGCATTGGGCGTACTCCAGACCATCGGAACTTTGATCCTGACCTTAGAAAGCACACCGGATGTGCTTTTGCACTTAGAAACCATTTTGATGCCTGTTATCACCATTACTCTTGAAAATAAACTTTATGGTAAGTCGTTTCTATACATGTGCGTACAGTGACATGGTGCTAAATACAAATAATACAGATTTGTACACTGAGGTTTTTGAAATCATTGATTCCTGCACTTTTGCTGCGAAATCTATATCTCCCACCATGTGGCAGGCATTTGTTCTCATGCATAAAACATTTAAATCTGGAGCTGAATTGTATCTTGAAGGTTAGACTCGGAAAAAAAACCCTTTTATTTTTGCTTTCTACTAAACTCATATGTTTCGTTCTAGATATGCTACCGGCTCTGGATAATTTCGTCACATATGGCTCAGCTACACTGGCACAAAACCCTGCCTATCTTCAAGCCCTAGTTGGCATGGTAGACGACATTTTCCACGATGAGAAGGTTGGAGGTGTTGATAGAATTTGTGGTTGCAAGCTTGCAGAGGCTATAATGCTCAATCTTCGAGGGCATGTCGACCAATTCATCCCAACGTTCATATCCTTGGCAATGACTGTCTTAAGTTCGGATGAAACGCACGCCAAATCTTACCGCATTCACTTGATGGAGATGGTTATCAATTCAATATACTATAACCCATTGTTAGCACTCCAAGTTCTGGAGTCCAAGGGATGGACGAACAAATTCTTCAGTACCTGGTTCTCCAACATTGACATCTTCAACAGGGTCCATGACAAGAAATTGTGCATCGTTGCTATCACTTCATTATTGACCCTGAGAGCAGCTGATGTGCCCGCTAGCGTGCAACCAGGCTGGCCTCGTCTCCTCCAGGGAATTAGCAAGCTTTTCCAAACTCTCCCAGCTGCGTTGAAGCGTATGTGCCCTTCTTGTTCCATTCTTAATGTATTTTAAGGAAACTTGTATTCTAATCAATACTAGACCGCGAAGAAACTTCAAAGGAGGTCGATTACAGCTATAATGACGCCGATGACGATGATGACGATTCGAACAACGATTGGAGTGGAGAGGTTGAGTGGACAGCACAGGATGAAGCCGAAGGTCCAGATAGAGATCTAGATGATGAAAGCCAGTCTTATGTAGAGTTCTTAAACCGAGAAGTAAATTTGCATTTCTTTTCATCCAAATACTTCTATTGCCATCACTGTGTTTGTTAACATTATCCACTACAGGCTATGAAATACGCATCGATGCCCGGTGACGAAGATGAGGAACTTGATGAGGAAGGTTTACTTGAAAGCCCGTTGGACAAGGTTGAGCCATATGGCCTTTTCAAAGCTGTTTTGATGGGTATGTTTTAAGTTTTCTTCATACTTCATATGTTATTCACAACAGTTTCTATGGAATGTCCTAACACTCTTTTCACAACAGGTTTACAGCAAGAACAACCCGTCCTCTACGAGACCCTGACGAAAATTCTCAATGCAGAGGAGCAACAGATCATTCAAACTGTTGTCCAAGAAGCAGATGCAAAGGCATTGGCTTTTGGGAATGCGAACGTTGCAGCTGCAGCCGCGACGGCAAAGGCAAATAGCGAAGCCTGATCTGGTAGGAGAAAACAAAAGTAAAAAAATATAAAAAAAATAAAAAGAAAAAAGGTAAAAGAAAAAAAGAAAAAAGAAAAAAGGTGGCAACGGACTTCGAAAAGGACGGCCTTGTTTGTTTAATTCATTTTTGTCCTTATTCTAGCTACAATTACCTGTTTAGCGTTAACGTTACTCACCTATATACCATTTTTCATATGTGCAGGAATTGGCTGTTTTCAGAATGGACATATGCTATATATAAATTCTTTTCGCTTTTCTGCTCTTTTCTTATGCCATCGTGGATGTTTCCACCTCCAGTTCTGATCTCCATTGCCAGAGGCAATTTTCCTCAACTCCCTCTTGAACACTTTGTTTACACTTGTTGTCTCTTTCCCCCCCTTTGACCCCCTTTTCTCCTTTCGACTCATTAGCCATATTTTCC